CAGAGAAGATTCATTCAGAAAGAATGAATGATATGCAGCATGTGGAGTGACACATTTATTAAAATAACACTATTAGCTAAAAAGTAAGAGCAAAACTAAAATGCAGCAACAAAGAGGGCTTAGCTACAGTGAGACTAAAAGCCGAGAGTGAGGGAGAGAGAACAATGTGCACGACTGATGCTGAGAAGGAGACAGAAGCCTGAGTTCTTTCCATCGTTTCTCTCTGTAAAACTGTCTTTCTCATCACACTCACATTCTGCCCAGTGACGTTCTCCAATAAAAATGACTTGTTTTCAAAATGTCCTTGAGGGCGAAATAGCACACACAAAATACGTGCAGGGTCACAAGAGCAAAGTGATCATGGCGTCCACCTGCCCCTTCTCCCTGCACATCCCCCACTCACGCACACACATGCACTGACATTCGCTCACAGTCACATATGGATCTTGGCAAAAACAGTCAAAAGAAAAGGCTTCTGCTTAACCCCTCTTTAGACAGTCACCTCTCACTCTCTCAAGAGTTGAATTCCGTGGGTTGGGCTGGGCTTCCTGCTAAGATTCTCTTCTATCAGACGGGTTTAAGAACACCCAGCCTTCTGCTTGCATTACTAATAGTATCAGTAGTGTGTTAAAACTGAAAGGTCCTGGAATTGTGACAGGTTTTGACATGGGTTTGGGGATGGTCACAAACCTCTGAAAGCCCTGTGAAGTGTTGCACAAGCCTAACTTGTGCCCTGTCTTCTCACTCTACATCTGTGCTCTCCCGATGAACGCCCACCTGAGGCATTTCAATTGTCAAGTTTAGGCAATAATCACTTCTCCCTTCAAAAAACGGGCTTGTTTGGGCAGTTTTAGACAATTTCTCAAAATTGAGAAAACAGAGGTTGTCCTATAATGAGAGATGATACTCAAAATATCCGACAACTAGTGTGGCACCAATACCAACCAACAATCAGTACACCCAGTCAGGGCAGGCCAGCAGCATTTCAACCTGCTTGGCTTGCTGCCCAAGGACACGCACTGTAACACACCCCTGAGAACACATGGGTATATTTTATGACCCAATCCTGTGAACCATCTTCACAACCTGCTTCACTTGAAGAGATCAAAATCTGATATGTGAAACAAATATTGTTTTTATATTTGAGTATGACTATGAATAGTCTTCATAAGTAACATTTTATTGTATTAATTTTCTACTGCCGCCTAGTAAATTACTACAAACCTAGCAACTTTTTTTTTAAAGATTTATTTATTTTTTTTATTTGACACAGAGAGACACAAGCGAGAGACAGAACACGGCAGGGGGAGTGGGAGAGGGAGAAGCAGGCTTCCCGCGGAGCAAGGAGCCGGATGCAGGGCTTGATCCCAGGACCCTGGGATCATGACCTGAGCCAAAGGCAGACGCTCAATGGCTGAGCCACCCAGGCGCCCCCAAACCTAGCAACTTAAAACAACACAAAGTTGTTACCTCACAGTTTCCATGTGTCAGGAGTGTAGGCATGGCTTAACTTTAGCTGGGTCCTCAGAACAGGGTCTCCTAAGGCTGCAGTCAAGGTACCAGCTGAGTTTGGGGCCCTATCTGTGGCTTGAGGTCCTTTCCCAGGCTCTCAGGGTTGTTAGCAGATTCATTTCTTTGGAGCTATAGAGCTCATGATAGCTTGCTTTTTTAAGGCTAGCAGGGAAGCTTGTCTGATCTTAGGGAAGGCCTAAATCTTCCTTTAAAGATTAGGTCACACCCACCCCCAAACAATCTCCTTTTGATGAACTCACAGCAATTCTGATGAAGGATTTTAATTATATCTGCGAAATCTCTTCATCTTTGCCATAGAATGTAACCTAATCACAAGAGTGACATCCATCATATTGACAGGTGTGCCCACAATCAAGCGACGGGGATTATACAGGGTTATATACAGGGGGTAGGGAATGTGGAGGCTAATTTGAATTCTTTCTACTACACTTAACATCAGTGCTTTTGTTATACTCTGGTGATCACAAAGTACTGTTTTCCGTGATTGCAGATACTTGTTGCAAATTTAGGACTGAATCATGTATTTCCGAAATTGACAGAACAAAGTATAGGGTGGGTAAGACACCAGATGAAATAAGCTTTTATTCTTGCATTATTGAAAATTAGCATTTTTGCCTTTCATAGATTATTTACATTACCTTCTTATATGTTAAGCACACACTAGTGGCATTTTTATAGAAAATGCAAAATGAGGATAAAGATGAACAGGTCTAAGCGGTTCACAGCTCCGAGATGTGGCTACACTGCTTACATATGGAGAAAACAGACCTAATATAGTGTCCTGCATATTCACACTTGTATTCACCTGCTAGGACCGCCATAACGGAATACCACAGACAGGGTGGTTTAAACAAAAGAAGTTCATTTTTTCACAATTCTGGAGGCTGGAAGTCCAAGGTCAAGGTTCTGGAAAAGATGGTTTTTGGTAGAGCCTCTCTTCTCGGCTAGTAGACACCTCTGCTGTGTCCTCACGTGGCCTTTCTTCTACGTGTGCATGGAGAGAAAGAGAGAGTGCTGGTGTCTCTTCCTCTCCCTATAAGGATACCAGCCCTATCAGGTTTGGATTCACCCTTATGACCTCATTTAGTCTTTTTTTTTCCTTTTGTGACTGATTTATTTCACTGAGGACAATGTCCTCAGGGTCCATCTGTGTCGTAGCATGTGTCAGAATTCCCTTCCTTTTTTTTTTTGCCATTTTTTAAATTATTATGTTGTGTTAATCACCATACATTACATCATTAGTTTTTGATGTAGTGTTCCATGGACCTCATTTAGTCTTAATTACCTCCCTAAAGGTTCTATCTCCAAATATAGTCACAGTGCAGATTAGGGCTTCAACATATGAATTTAGGGGGACACAATTCGGTCCATAGCAATACTAAAAATATCTGCAGACAATGAACAACCTGGGGGGTTGCCTGCTTATGATGACCACAAACAGTGTTGTTGCTGTTTTTAAAGGTTTTATTTATTTATTCATTTGAGAGAGAACGAGATCATGAGTAGGGGGAGAGCAGAGGGAGGGGGACAGACAGACTCTGTCCTGAGCACAGAGCCCAGTGTGGGGCTTGATCCCACGACCCTGAGATCATGACCTGAACCGAAATCAAGAGTCAGATGCTTAACCGACTGAGCCACCCAGGTGCACCAGACAGTGTTTTTAAAATCACTAATCACCATTCAAAAATTCATGCACAAATTCCAAGAAATCTCTCCATCTATTTTCTGTCTTTGCTGAAAATAATAGAGTGTCTTAGACTGGTAGTCTGTTTGTTACCAAGGCCACAAAGATACATGTGTGCCCTGCGCAGGGCAGCAGAGCAACCTCTTGTCCCTTGGTTCTGACAGAATGACTGCAAACTGTGCCCAAACAAATCAGTTGTATCATTTTTCCCAATAAAGAGACAAGAAAGGTCCCAAAGATCTTCATAAAGGGAATATAATAGACCCATAGTTCCATAGCCAGGGCTATGTCTCCCTCTGATGGATCCTTGGCTCTCCCTAATGAAAGGTGCAACCACACAGAGCATAGACACTGCTTCCACAGGAGTTAGGTATGAATGTCAGGATCTGTGGTAGAGACTGCTGTTTACAACCCAATATACTTTATCTCCCTCTTTTGTTAATAACTGAGCCCCTATTTTAGAAATCAGTGACAGTGTGCCTTGTGAAGAAGCCACATTTTCTCTCTTCTCCTTGTAACTAGAAGTGATCAATGTATCTAGATTTTTGTCTGGGACTCATGAGAAGGCTTTTATGGAGGAAGCACATAGCCACCGCGTGTCCTTGTCTACGCTTACCTCCCCCCTTCCTTTTGTTTCTGCCTGAACTATGCATTTGATGTCTGGAAATAGAGCAGCCATGTGGGTGACTGGAACTTTAGGAACCATCTTGGATAAGAGTTAACTTCAAGGAGGGAAGCCACATGTTAAGGAAGACGCACCTAAAACGTGGAACAAGCTTAAACCCATAATGGTACTATGGAGCTTCCATACCGACCCTGGACTATTGGACTCTCTCATGTGAGGGAGAAATAAGTCTCTGTGACTTGCTGTGTAAAGCAAATGCCTAACTGATACATAGTGTAGAATGAAAATCTCAGTGTCAAAATTACCTTAGAAAATCCTTTAAGTCCTCCATAAAATACAGTTAAAAAGTGTGACATAAGTCCTGAATGGGTTATAGGCATGAGGAGATGTTTAGCCTTTAATTCTTGGTGCCAGTCAAGAAAACAGACCAAATTAGTCTCTATCCTTGCATTGTTTCAATTAGTATTTGTCCTTTAGAAATTATCTACATTGATTTCAGAGATTATAATTCAGAAATTAAAAATCATATATGGCCTGAAAAGAAAACTATAGGGAAGTCCCAGTATATCTAATCCTGATAGCTGGAAGCAACATGTGTGTATGTGTGTGTGTGTGTGTTTGTGTGTGTGTGTGTGTGTGCAAATATGGAATTATTACATATGATTCCACCTTCACTTTTCGCAGGAAATTTTATGATTTTAACTGTATTACTTAATGTTTCTTTATGACTTTTAATTAACATTTCAATTTTATTTCAAGGCTCTTGAACGAGCCATCATCATGGACATCCTGACTACCAAGCAGGATGACTGAGATGTCTTTAAAATCACTCACACTTTCTTCTAATAGGTTTTGGGTGAGCTAAGTTTGATTACATTTGAATACATCTTCACGGTATGTTTCTTTGAGCAGAATTATGGGCAAAAGTATCAAGATGACTGAAATTGCCGTCTTTTCTCTTTATTCTTTCTCTTTCTCTTGCATTCAGTTCAACACTGTTATATGTCTGAAACTGAGAAAAACATCACTGCTCCCACGCGGTTTTGTCAAGCTGCGAGTAAGTGCAGCTCTGAGAAGAACGGCAGGTGAAGAAGTTCTGGAATTCAGAATTCCCTAAGGAATGTTACCATGTTGCTAAGCTCTGTAGTGTATCTTAACAACCAGGGAGCCCCATGGGCTTCTTGGAGCAACAGTGGGAGAAACTGGAGGGAGACAGTGAGATTCTTTTGGAAGCATTAGACATTCGGCTGTCTCTATCAATTAAAAATTCCCAGCTCAAGTAAAACGATTTAAGGAAATCAATGACAACTCAGTATAGACCCATTATGAGGCTTGGAGGGTATCATCAACCTTGAGTTCCTGTCAACCAGATTACCTTCTTTGGAAAACTGTCCTCAGGTATAATTTTAAATTCATCATTAAAATAATTTTCAAAAAGTTTAAGTATGACTTAGTTAATGGACCTCAGGTTCATCTTCTTTTCAAGACCACGTGAAGGCCAAATAAATCTGTTTTGAGGTAATGGGGTATTATCTTTCAAAGTAAACCATCTGTTGTTGAGGAGATCGTACAAATAAAATAAGCTAAGGTTGTGGAATAAAGACATTTATTTTGTGAAAAACATTTAAATTCATATAACAAATACTTACTGAGCATATACTATGTGACAGTTACTGGGAATGCAGAGGTTGGACCAGGCCATTGCCTGTTTGATTATAATATCCTATGAAGAGAAGCAGAAAATAGACACAGAAATACAAAAAAAAAAAAAAAAGTCAGAAAGTGACATGCGCTATGGAGACAGCTTAAGGAGGGTAAGGGATAGAGAGTGATGGAGCCTGGGAAGATGGTAGGAACTACTTTAGAGAAGGGTAAGGAAGACTTTTGGAGAAAGCCTCAGCAGAGCAACAAATGAAGTGAAGATCTGAGTGGTGTACATTTTAGGCTACCTCTAGCAAATGCAAAATGTTTCAGCATTCATCACCTAAATAATAATCTTTACATCTCTGGGAATTCATAGTAAATTTCAGCTCTTCGTTGATCAGATATTGTGTTCTGTTTTAAACATACATTGTATGTAAGTGTTATTTTGGACTAAGATTATTAATATTTAATACAGATTTGCATAGTTTAAAAGTAACAATGATCAGAATTAGGACAACATGATTACTAATGCTTCTAAAACACAGGTTTTGAGGATTTTGTGTCATGTAGTCTACATAAAATTCAGTGATTTGCTAATATACAGGTCAATTCAAGAGGCTGTAGGAAAGGAAATACTGCTCTCAGAAGCACTTTCACAATTCCCTGGATGGTGAATGGTAATTTTAATTAGATTTTCCCTCAATTACCACTATGCAGGTTTTTTTCTTCTTCTTCAGAGTGAAAGCAGAATGCTGGTATCACAAACAAAATAGAATTATAAACAGAACTTGGCTACTTTCACTCAGCAGATCTTTTGGGCATAACCTCTAGGTCAGGAGGGCTCCACCAAGGTTTTGCAACACAGGCGGTGAGGTGAGGCCCAACATATTTACTAATAATTGCTAAAAATATTCATGTTTGCAACTTGTTTAGCTTTTAAAAGGAATTAATACAAAGAAGGGTAAATCTTCTAACACTGTCTCTTGGCAGTTAGTTGCAACGTCATGTGCCTACCTTTTTGGAAAGACTGGAGTTAAAAACCTGTTAATACAGCTCTTCTGAGCAACAGTTACTGACACACCATCGTTGCAGTGATTGAAAATGTTTTTCATACTTTGCTTCTCCACAACTCTGGAATGCATTCTTTAAAATTGGAACATGCGATGGGGATGTGAACATCACCTGTGTTCCTGTGAACATCACCTGTCATGTGCATCATGGTAGGGAAAGTAGGTTGAGAACTACTGCTCCATATTATACAGTAAATACCTAACAAGCTAAAATAGTGGAAGCAAGTGTGTGTGTGTGTTTTGTTTTCTTTGTGTTGTTTTTTGTTTGCTTTGGGTTTTAAAAATATACATATACTTATTATTTCACAAAACAGTATTTGGGTATGGTAAATAATCCATGGCACATTTGTAGAAGTTCTTGTAACTGGTTTAGTCTTACAGAATCCATCCGTGATATACATGGACCAGTTTTGCATTAATGGGTTTCTCTAACATTGGTTTAGGAAAAGTTTTAGTTACTTCATTATAAAATAAATAAGATTTCTGATTCTATAATAAAGATAATCTTTGTTTTCTAACAAGCAAATTATTTTCTGGTTTTCTGTTAATTCCTTATTTTAATAATATGTTCTTTTCATATATCTCTTGTCTTTGGGGGAAAAATCTATCCTTACATATGAGAATGAATGATTCCTTCATTTCTTTTGAGTTTATAAATCTTAAAAAGTTATAGTCCAAAATCAATTCTTATAATAAAGAGAAATCTTAATAGAGAAATATTATTCTAAGCCAATTCATGAGCTTTGGAATGATATCCATTAAAATAAATGAGAAATGAATTATCAAAGAGTGTTAAAATCAATATAGGCAACAGGTGGAAAAGAAAGATGTGGACATTACTTATAGTAACTAAAATAGTTTTGCTTTTTAAAGGTAGTTTCTTCTTTTTTTTAAATTAATAGACTTTATTTTTTTTAGAGTAGTTCTTAAGCTTACAGAAAAATTGAGCAGAAAGCACAGGGAGTTCCATATATCCTGCCTACCTAGTCTCCCCTATTATTCACATCTTGCATTAGTGTGGTACATTTGTGACAACTCATGAACCAGTATCATACATTATTAGTAACTGAAGCCCATAGTTTACATTAGCATTCACTCTGTGTTGTACATTTCTGTGGGTTTCAACAAATGCATGAAGTCACGGATCCACAGTCACAGTCTAGAGCACTATACTTCAGGCTAGTGTCACTGCCCTGAAAATCCCTTGCGTTCCACCCATTCATTACTCCCCTACTTCCTCTCTGGAGCTCCTGGCAATCATTGATGTTTTTACTGTCTCCGTGATTTTGCTTCTTCCAGAATGTCGTATAGTTGGAATCATGCAGTATGTCGCCTTTTTTTTTTTTTTTAAAGATTTGATTTATTTATTTGACAGAGAGAGACAGCTAGAGAGGGAATACAAGCAGGGGGAGTGGGAGAGGGAGAAGCAGGCTTCTCGCTGAGCAGGGAGCCCGATGCGGGGCTCGATCCCAGGACCCTGGATCATGACCTGAGCTGAAGGCAGACACTTAACAGACTGAGCCACCCAGGCACCCCTGTAACTTTTTCGTACTGGCTTCCTAGCAATATACATTTAATGTTCCTCCATTTTTTTTTCATGGCTTGATAGCTCATTTCTTTTTTTCTTTTTTTCTTTTTTCTTATTTTATTATGTTATGTTAGTCACCATACATTACCTCATTAGTTTTCGATGTAGTGTTCCATGATTCATTGTTTGTGTATAACACCCAGTGCTCCATGCAATACATGCCCTCCTTAATACCCATCACTGAGCTAACCCATCCCTCCACCCCCCTCCCCACTAGAATCCTCAGTTTGTTTCTCAGAGTCCATAGCCTCTCATGGTTCATCTCTCCCTCTGATTTCCCTCCCTTCATTTTTCCCTTCCTTCTCCTAATGTCCTCCATGCTGTTCCTCATGTTCCACAAATAAGTGAAACCATATGATAATTGACTTTCTCTGCTTGACTTATTTCACTTAGCATTATCTCCTCCGGTCCCATCCATGTTGATGTAAAAGTTGGGTATTCATGCTTTCTGATGGCTGAGTAATATTCCCTTGTATATATGGACCACATCTTCTTTATCCATTCGTTGGTTGAAGGGCATCTCGGCTCTTTCCACAGTTTGGCTATTACGGACATTGCTGCTATGAACATTGGGGTGCACGTGGCCCTTCTTTTCACTACATCTGTGTCTTTGGGGTAAATAGCCAGTAGTGCAATTGCTTGGTCATAGGGTAGCTCTATTTTTAATTTTTTGAGGACCCTCCACACTGTTTTCCAAAGTGGCTGTACCAACTTGTGTTCCCACCAACAGTATAAGAGGATTCCCCTTTCTCCACAACCTCTCCAACATTTGTTGTTTCTTGCCTTGTCAATTTTTGCTGTTCTAACTTGTGTAAGGTGGTATCTCAATGTGGTTTTGATTTGAATTTCCCTGATGGCTAATGATGGTGAACATTTTTTCATGTGTCTGTTAGCCACTTATCCGTCTTCTTTGGAGAAGTGTCTGTTCATGTCTTCTGCCCATTTTTTGACTTGATTATTTGTTTTTTGGGTGTTGAGTTTGAGAAGTTCTTTATAGATCTTGGATACCAGCCCTTTATCTGTAGTGTCATTTGCAAATATCTTCTCTCATTCTGTGGGTTGCCACTTTGTTTTGTTCCTGTTTCCTTTGCTGTGCAGAAGCTTTTTATCTTGATTAAGTCCCAAAAGTTCATTTTTGCTTTTGTTACCTTGTCTTTAGGGACATGTCTTGAAAGAAGTTGCTGTGGCCGACGTCGAAGAGGTTATTGCCTATGTGCTTCTCTAGGACTGATGGATTCCTGTCTCACATTGAGGTCTTTCATCCATTTTGAGTTTATCTTTGTGTATGCTGTAAGAGAATGGTCGAGTTTCATTCTTCTGCATGTGGCTGTCCAATTTTCCCAGCACCGTTTATTGAAGAGACTGTATTTTTTCCATTGGATATTTTTTCCTGCTTTGTTGAAGATTAGTTGACCATAGAGTTGAGGGTCCATATCTGGGCTTTCTATTCTGTTCCATTGGTCTATGTGTCTGTTTTTGTGCCAGTACCATGCTTCTTGGTGATCACAGCTTTGTAATACAGCTTGAAACTGGGCAACATGATGCCCCCAGCTTTGGTTTTCTTTTTCAACATTTCCTTGGCGATTCGGGGTCTTTCTGATTCCATACAAATTTTAGGATTGTTTGTTCCAGCCCTTTGAAAAATGCCATTGGAATTTTGATCAGGATGGCGTTGAAAGTATAGATTGCTCTGGGCACCATAGATGTTTCAACAATGTTTATTCTTCCTATCCATGAGCATGGAATGTTTTTCCATCTTTTTGTGTCTTCTTCAATTTCCTTCATAAGTGTTCTGTAGTTCCTGGAATATTGATCCTTTACCTTTTTGGTTAGGTTTATTCCAAGGTATTTTTCGGTTTTTTGGTGCTATTGTAAATGGAATCGATTCTCTAATTTCTCTTTTTACAGTTACATTGTTAGTGTATAAGAAAGCAACTGATTTCTGTGCATTGATTTTGTATCCTGCCACATTACTGAATTGCTGTATGAGTTCTAGTAATTTGGGGGTGGAGTCTTTTGGGTTTTCCACATAAAGTATCATGTCATCTGCAAAGAGAGAGTTTGACTTCTTCTTTGCCAATTTGAATGCCTTTTATTTCTTTTTGTTGTCTGATTGCTGTTGATAGCTCATTTCTTTTTACTGCTGAATAGTATTGCATTGTATGGATGTACCACAGTTTATGTATCCATTCACCTATTGAAGACACCTTGGTTGCTTCCATTTTTTGGCAAGTATGAATAAACATTCATGTGTAGGTTTCTGTGTCAACATGATTTCAACTCCTTTAGGGAAACATCTCGGAGTGCAATTGCTGGGTCATATGGTAAAAGTATGTGTAGCTTTGTAAGACACTTCCAATCTGTCTTCCAAAGTGGCTGTACGATTTTGCATTCCCACTTGCAATGAATAAGAGTTCCTGTTGCTCCACATTTCTGTCAGCATTTGGCATTGTCAGTATTTTGGATTTTAGTCATTCTAATGGATGTGTAGCAGTATGTCAATGTTTTAATTTTTAATTCCCTAAGGACAAATGATGTTGAGTATCTTTTTATATACATGCTTATTTGCCATCTGATGATATTCTTTGATAAGGTGTTTGCTCAGCTTTTTTGCACAGTTATTAATTTGGCTATTTGTTTTCTTAATGTTGAGTTTTAAGTGTTCCTTGTTATTCTGGATACTAGTCCTTTATCAGATATGTGTTTCACAATATTTTCTCCCAGTCTGTGGCCTGACTTTTCATTCTTTCACAGGGCTAAATATAGTTTCACTTTTCTGCAGGTTTGAGGTAATTTTATTTTTTTATGCTTAAATCACTTGTTAGAACAATTCAAAGCCCACAACTTTGTCTTGAGTTATTCATTTACCTCATTTCTGAAAATTTAAGGTTTTTTTTTTAAAGATTTTATTTATTTATTTGAGAGAGAGAGAGGGAGAACGAGCAGGAGGGAGGGGCAGAGGGAGAGAGAGAACCATACTCCCCACAGAATAGGGAGCCCTAATGCAGGGGCTCAATCCCAGGACCCTGAGATCATGACCTGGGCAGCCACTTAACCAACTGAGCCATTCAGGTGCCCCTTAAAATTTAAGTTTAAATCAGACTTTAAATAGTCCATAATGTATGTTGGATTTTGTAAAATTTTTATTGATATATGTGGATAAAATATTTACGTATTGCCTTTATCCCTTTAGCATTATTTTGAAACTTCTAATAGAAACAATAAAAGTCACAACAGAGATAATTAAATTTTCTGTAATCCCGGAGTAAGCACTATAGCACCTTTTTAAATATAAGAGCAAGATGAATTTCAGACTTCTTGGAAGCACTGCAGTTTTCATATGAGGAAGAAGAAGAGTTTTCTTCATTGTTTGTTTATTGACCTTTAACACCAGAATTTAAAGTATATCACTACCCTTCAAATTAACCTAAGAGAATGATTGATGTGGGGAAGACACACATAGAATAGCTGAGTATTCTAGCTGACATCTCCACCAATCCCATCAGGTTTCAGTTGAGCAAATCAAAATCTAGGAAATAAAGGAATTTATCCTTGGTCACTTAGCTCGTTAATGGCAAAGCTAGGACCATACATCTCATTTTTAAATTTCAGTTTAATGTCCTTCCCACTCTCCAACTTGCCTACTGTATCCTTTTTCCTCAATACAGATAAAAATGAATTTACTAACTTAATTGTGTAAAAGATCCCACACAGAAAGAAGAATGAGTAAGTCTACAGTTTGAGTTACAGAAAGAGGTTAGAACTAATTCCTCATTATTTATAAGGAACAATAAGAAAATGTACTTTTTCTTATTAGATAACAGTACTTCATGAATTCAAAATATTTTAATATATTTTTTAGCTTAGAATATTTGCTGTTTTGTGGCAACAGGGCTGGTGATCTATATACCATACACTTTGAATATATACCATGAAAAAATTGAACACAGATTCTTTGGTCTAAAAAGGTAGTCAATGAACTAAAAATGTGTGCCCCAACCTTGAGATCAATTCCTAGAATATGGATATATTTGAATGCTGAAATTATTCTGACCAGAAAAACTCCCTGCCATAGTTAGAAATAAAATGTACATTTCCTAGTACTGCTATGATGAATAAGATATCCATGTAAGATAGGAAATACAAACACACACCAGGGAAAAAATCCTTCTTTAATTTTCAAGATAGTATGCCATCTTCTTCTTTTTTTTTTTTTTTTAAGATTTTACTTATTTATTTGACAGAGAGAGAGTGAGAGAGCACAAGCAGGGGGAAAGGCAGAGGGAGAGGGAGAAGCAGGCTCCCCACCAAGCAGGGAGCCCGACATGTGGCTGGACGCAAGGCTCCATCCCAGGACCCTGGGATCATGACCTGAGCCCAAGGCAGATTCTTAACTGACTGAGCCACCCAGGTGCCCCAATAGTATGTCATCTTTAAGAAAGTTTATTTAGGGATGCCTGGGTGGCTCAGTTGGTTAAGCATCTGCTCTCAGCTCAGGTCATGATCCCGGGTCATGGGATTGAGTCCTGCATCAGTTTCCTTGTTCAGCGGGGAGCCTGCTTCTCCCTCTCCCTCTGCCTGCTTGCGCTCTCTCTATCCGACAAATAAATAAATAAATAAAATCTTTTTTAAAAAAGAAAGTTTATTTAACTCTTTCCTATGTTTCTAATCCAGAAATTTTTCCCACATAATTGTAAATTCCCAAAGAGTCATAACATTATCTTTGATCCCTTACACCTATGATAATTTAAGTGTCTAATAAAAATTGCTGAGTGATTGAGAGAAAATCACTAAATATTACTGAAAATTGCAAATAACAATGTGCCAAAGTTCTCTACTTTATTGTTTGTAGATGTAATATCGTTCTTTTGTTACCAGATTTGTTTTCTCCTTTAGGTTTTACTATCTTCTCAGAAGATACAAATTTAAGAAGTTGGTTGTCTTAAAGCATAATATGAAAGGTCCTCGTTATATATGTCACATCATAATATGAAAGGTGCATTAATGTAAAACACATTTGTGGGCATCATATTTTAAAGCTCTCATTTTCATTTACTATATCAAAATTGATAACCATGTTATGTATTTTTATGTTGGTAAGCTAACAAAGTGACCTTAAAATGTAATCAAACACAGAACATATTTTAAGGTTTTGAATTTTCCAGGGAAAAATTCTTCTGTCCCACCCATGCCTGTATTCGTTTCAATATTTACAAAAATTTGGTCTAAAGTAAAATAACCTCACATTGTTTTGACAGGAGAAACAATTCAGTGCAAACAGAGAAGTAATGTTTGATGTGTAAGGAAATGTCAAGAACCCCCTCATCAGAATGACTGTCATTCTATGATTTCAGGGTCTAAGCACCTCTGGAAGTGAGGTTAACAAGGTAGAACCCCAGGACCTTTTGCGGCAACAGTGGAGAGGGGCAAACCAATACCAGAAGAACATGAGCCTCAAATCTCCAACGTCTGCTCTTCCGTTCGAGAACAAAGGCAGCCATATCATGGCTAGAAATGGAAGCTGTTTTCTAGTCCGTCACACCCCTCATCCCAGAAGGGTCTGCCACATCAAAGGTAAGGTAACTCAAGGTCCTAGAATCTCTCTCTCTCTCTCTCTCTCTCTCTCTCTCTCTCTCTCTCTCTCCCTGCATTTGGGCTACTTGTTGATTCTGGTGGATAAACACAGGGATACTATTCAAAATATTTAACTAATGGTGAGACACAGGTATTGACCATTGAGCCGAGATGCCAGCCTTGGGGATAGAGCAGAGCCTGCAGGCATCCTCTCTGCCAGGTATTAACCCTGGGATTTCTTGACTGTTAGAAAAGGGACCCGCAGAGGTGCCAAACAGCTCACAGCAGCAATTGACCAATTGGTATAAAAGTATTCAATATTTTAACAAACTGCATGGCCATGCTAGCATTTACATGCTAAATATTACCCCTAGAGAAGCATATATTTTACCCTCCAGCCCTTTTTCCCTTTCTCTCACTTTCTCTCCTTTTTTTTTTCTGTTCTTTCTCCCCTTTTCCCCTCCCTCCCTTGATGATGCAAACAAAGGAGGCCTCAGTCAGTCCCATAAGGAGACATGGACAGCTCTGCTTAAAGCAAGGGGTGTCTCAGCTTAAAGCAAGGGGGTCAGGCCTTTGTAACCCCCATCAACCACTCACTGGTCAAGTTTCCATTGTACATGAGAGCTGTCTTCAGCTGAGAGCAATTCCCAGGGAGGGCCTCAGCATGAGCCATCAGTAGCTGACACATCTGTCAGGTGGACAGATGAGCGTGTTGGTCCTGAAGGCATGGTTTGGGTAGATGCATCCCCACATCTACTACAGTAATTATTGGAGCTTATGACTAAATATTTTTATTTGGTTATTATCAAATATCTTCCACTAATTTGTGAGCTCCTTGAAAGCTGAAGATGTGTGTTTTGCTCACCACTTATTTTCAGTTTCCTAGAGTGGCTGCGACGTGGGAGGTACTAGATAATTCTTGTGGAAGGAAAGAAGGAAGCTTAAATTGCATTCAGATAAAAATTTAGAGCCTCTGATAGATTTTAAGTAGAGTTAATGTTCTACCTCAGCTATCTAGTTGTGTGTCCTTGAGCAAGTGATTCATTCTTTAAAAAAATCATTCTAGCTGTATTGTAGAAAGTGGAAGGAAAACTGGGGCCTAAGGAGAAGTTGGAAGACCAGTTAAAAGGCTGACTCAGTCATCCAAGTGAGAGGGATGAAGGTTGGGCCAGGGCAGACAGCAGAGTAGAGAAGTGAAGATTGAACTTCGGGGTAGAGCAAGAGAAAAGCCCAGATGAGCAGCACAGAGAAAGCCATCAGAAGGTTATGAGATAAAACAAGATTCAATGAGAATGGCTGGGTGATCATCAAATACAAATTGCTAAAGAAGATCAGGAAAATGAAGGCCAAGAGATAGCAAACAGATATTACAATAAAGAGCTCATAAATGGCTTGGAATCTGTTGTCTTGGCAAAATCTGGTGACAGGATTTTTCAAAATCCACATGAGAAAAGCATTCCATTTAATTAGAACTTTTTTCTCTATGACAGCAAATATTAGCAAATTGAGTATATTTTTTTCTGACTTCCAAATACTTGAAAGTACTTGATATATAACTCCTATATATGTAATTCACATTCTGCCTTGAATTATCTTATACCTATAATACAATATAAAACTGTTGGCAGGCAAAGGACTGACTTTGTCTTCAAATCCCCTACAATGCCTACCACAAAGCTTTGCTTTTAGTAATATATGTCCACATATAAATATATGTTCAATTGAATAGAAAACTTTCTTTGGAAATCTTTCAAGCATATTCATGCTAATGCTAGAAAGCCTAGTAACCTGAAATGCAAGAGGTAGAGAAGAGCAGCAAGCTGATCTATTTTGACTGATAACAGCTATGTGCTTTGAACCCACACTCAGCACAAGGACACTACAACTAGTTTTGCTAATTTCACCCCATAGATAATTCTTATAGTCCGTTTTTACCAACATTCAATGTTTTAGTCTATGAGATCTAATGTTATTTTCATAGATAAATCCTTAAAAAGTTAAGTCATCAGTAAGTTTAGTCAGTCTAAGAAATGTCAATTTAAAGTCTCTATTTGTGATACATATATGCACTTTGCTAGCAACACAACATAAGCCAGTTTCTGCTCACAATGTACTTGGAGGAGATAGGAATAAAAGGAAATAATTATAATTGTGTTATGTGCAATTATAGAAGTATGCTGGAAGTTCAGATGTAATATACAGATAGGGAAACCACTAGAGCAGTGTCAAGAATGCATTTCACAGAGGTTTTTACTGGGAGATACATGATAAACATTAAGAAGAAACAGTTAGCAGGACTTGGGTATTTATTGGATTTAAGGATGGAATAAAAAGTCTAGAATTATTACCAGTTTTTTTTTTAGCTTGGTTAACTGTCTGGATAGTGGACCAACTATTAATCTTGGGCATATAGGAGGAAGAACATATGTAAGAGGTAAGATTAAAAGCTTCATTTCAGACAAACACATTGTACTTGATGTGCCAATGGAACATTCAGGAGTAAATGACCAAATAGAGAAATGGATATAAAGACTTGAAGCCTAAGGATTAGATGAGGATGTAAAATAGATTTGAAAAGTGGAAGCATATAGGTTAAATCAGTAATGTTATTGCCCAAGAAAGAAATCCTAACAGAACTCTGAAAAGCACAGGGGTGTATAGACACAGAAAATTCAGAGAAAGAGACTGAAAAGAAAGAGCAGAGATTCTGAGATAGAAAATGTTGTCTCTGAAAATAGAGAGAAATGATTTTAAAGAAAGAGGGAACAGAAAGGGAAAGAAGAAAATTTTGCATTTAATTTATAAACTAGTGATCTCTACAACCTCTTCTATTACATAGAATAGGGAAAGTCTGAATTTATACACAAGATTATATTAAAATCTTACATTTGCTTGGCAGAAGTTTTTAAGCTGTAGTCTGTGGGCAAGAGACAAAGATGGAATAAAATGTGTTTGAACAAAGGGCACAGTAGCCAAAGAAATTTGAGTATCACTACTTCATGACAAAAAGCATTATATTTAGTCATGGGATTAAATGAGGCTTTTCGGAACTTTTGCTAAAGCCAAATTTTGAGATCATCTATGCATGACTTGCTAAGAGGTAATTTAAAAACTGGCCCTATGATGGTAGCCTATCTCCAGGCTCTTTTGCTTTAGAGAAGAGTTCATAGAAAGGAAAGAGATTGAGGATTTCTTTGAAAAAGAGTCACTGGGGTGCTGTGTACTTCCCTTCCCTGCCATGAGGAGCAGTAGTAGCTGCCTTCACCTGTACCTGCAGGGCTTCCCAGGACCATGGAGAATGTCTAGAGAGGAGACAGATCTCACTGGCTAGCTTCTTGCCTGTGCTCCTCCTGGTCTGCCCTACACTGTTTCTGCAGTGGATCATGGGGAGACTATTCTTGGGGTGAACTTGTTCTGGATCTTCTATGGTATGGAGGACACAGATGATCGTGTCTGACTCTATTCTTCTAAAATCTCAAGACAAGAGCTGGCTGGAGCTGGCTGTGTCAGTGGCACAGACTGGGATTAAATTGCTCTCCCACAGAAGACCAGGCCAAGGGTGTTGTTTCCCGTGGGAACGCTCAGGAGGCGGCTGGCCAAGAACTGTCTTGCAAGGACCCAGCCCAAAGGACTAACTAATAGGACCACTATAGCCAAAAGAGACTGGTGACATTTCACGTGGGGTGAAGGTGGTAAGGAAGAGAAGTTAGCAATTATCTGGTAGATACATTATCCATGACAGTGAACGGCGTTAGAGATTTCCTCAGCCACGGGTCTCCAAAGAACCCACAGAAATACCTCGTGAGAGAAAGAGCCAGCATTTTTTCTCTGCCTCACAGATCTGTTTTCACAGATGCCTCAATACTAAATTAAAACCATTAAGCAAGTAAGACTTTGTGTCCCCTTCACCGTTCCTTCATCCTCCAACCCCAACTCCAGGGGAGCTGAAAGCAGTGAGTGGGGAAGGAAGAGCGGAAGAGCAAGGGACAGGAAAGGAAGACCACACCCCCATGCCCCTGCTGGTCTGCAGAGGCTGGGTCATCCTTGGCCTGGAGAGGAGGGTGTGAAATGGAATACTAATACTTTTATAGCACTAGCGATCCTGATAGTAAATATTTGGCATTCTTGATGGAAAGTTCTGTGTATCATAAAGATTAGTGCAGTTACTTGTTATTTTTAAAGTAAACTTTAAAATAACAATTATAAACCTTTTTGTTTTAACATTTAAAATTTAGCTTAAAGATTTTATTATTTTACTTATAAATCTTGAAAATGTTAACAATCACTTCAAGGGGGTCTTTGATTAATATTTAGTCCCATTTACAAACTTAGTAAAAAAATACCTTTAAAAGTTTAAATGTCAATTACTCATTAAGTAGATTTGATTTCTTTTAAAATATTTCACATCCTTATCACGTGAATTCTCACCAAGCTATAAATAAATCTTGTAAATTAAATAAATTAAACTTATAATATAGACAAATACATTATTTAAAACATTTCTTTACTGCTTACCAACTAATGATATTCTCATACTTTTCTGCTTAAATATTATATACATTTTAAAAACACATATGCAATGGTTTTTACTAAACTTAACCCATGAATAAGAATAGTAAGTATTTTTCTTATTTTATCATTTCCGTCTTTTATTTGAAACCTTCCCAATGTTAAAGCACACCATCAACTAAGGAAACAAATACCTTGGACGAAAAAAAAAAAAAGAAGAACATTAGAGTTACTTTCTCATTAAACTGGGGTTGCATATCAATCAGAAAATTAGGCAGGAATGTGAGATTTGCATCTTCACCTGGCAGTCTCTGAAAGGTGAGTCCTTCAGAATCATGACCGGAACAGAAATTTATGCCCAGTACAGGGAGCTTGTCCTTCCTGAGCCCAAGACTCCATTACCTAATTCTCCTGTATTCAAGGAAGTTAATGAAATTCCCACCAATATTGTCCTACTCTCCTTCACTGCTGGGTTGGGTTTCAAGTTTCCCCGACTATCTTTAAATCATTTAATGTTGTCCCATTTGACTCTGAAGCCACTTCAATGCCATTGCACTTTCTTCATTTTTATGTAGGTCTTTCCTAACTCTTGGATAGATAGAATCTGAATTCTTTCATGTTACTTATTACCATTTTTTAATTAAAGGAGATAGCAGAGAAAATAGGGATTTCTCCATTGATTTATCTTCATGTTAATATTTTATTTCATCTGGTAGGCAATTTTTCACGATGCATCTGGGTCAATCACTATCTCAGGTGTTTAAGATAAAATGGTAAGATGTGACGCTATCTTCAAAACTTTATTCTCATTTCTATTTGGAACCAGTTACTATCAGTAAAGTTCTAAGTAGCAGACTAAATAAAAGCTTTATGTTTGGCTGTGTTATTCATTCGTTTGATAAATAATCGTAGAGCATCAACTTTGTGCCAGGCACTATTCTAGACACTGGGAATAGAGCAGCAAACAAAACAGACAAAATGCATGCTTTCATGAAGCTTACATTCTAGGGCAGCTCAGCCCAGCAATGTGCAAACAGATATGATAGGTGACAAATGCTATGGGAAGAATAAAAGAGCATAAAGGGACAGAGTGTGATGGGGTACATTTCAGACAAGATTTTCAGCAAAGACGTTTTTGATATCATTTGAGCAGATAGATAAGAAGGCAGTGGACTGATAGTCCTAGAAGGAAATAGAGAAAAATGGGCAAGTATAAAAAACACTATCCAGAAGCTTCCTGTGCTACAAAGCAACCACCTATACCTATCTATGCTAATTCCCTGTTTAACATAAAGCAAAGTCCCGCACACCTTCACTTCCTAAGCTGTTCAATATGTCATGACATGGCATTGATACCAGAAAGAGGATCTGTCTATAATTCAATATATGAGCCAAAGGCAAATAACTCTTACAGGAGAGTGAAGGAGACCAGAAAGCTTGGACATGAGGAAGGAGGTTCCTTTGTACCGCGTTTTCCTTCCTTCCTTCCCTCACAATCTACCTTATCCTGCCTCCTCGCAGCTATTTAAACCTTCTGCCAGGACAAAAACAGGGCCAGTGTATGTCTTTTCGGAGGCCTTGTACTGAGACATCCTGGATGCTTCCAAACACCTGAATGGGATATTCATGAAGAGGGCTAACGTAGTTCCTTAGTCATCCTCAAGACTTGGGAGATGAGAGGTCTGTCTGGGATAGAAGCAGATCTGTTGCACTTGACTCTCACACTAAGAAAGATGTGAGCCTGGTTCTCAAGGCTAACAAGATGGCAGAACATTTTAAGGAAGCGTGTATTGCAGGGGCGCCTGGGTGGCTCAGCCAGTTAAGCGTCTGCCTTCAGCTCAGGTCATGATCCCAGGGTCCTGGGATCGAGTCCCACATCAGGCTCCCTGCTCAGCCAGGAGTCTGCTTCTCTCTCCCTCTGCCTCTTTCTATCCCAAATAAATAAGTAAAATCTTAAAAAAAAAAAAAAGGAAGCATGTATTGCAAACATAATTTGCTACACTGACCTTCAAAGAACGTCCACCTAGCACTGGTTCATACAGTTTGCAGTCTGACATTTTGTGTACACTTAACAATATGTGTTGGGAAATGGCTGATCATTCAAAGAAAATCTGCCCCAGACCTAATGTGGTTGTTTGGTCTGTTTATCCTGACTCACCTAGGTTTGAATAACATTCCTATCTGTACTGTGAATGATGATGAGAACTCACTGGGAGCATTGTGGGGTGCTGGCCAGTTCGACCACTTAGAGAAGGATGAAATACCATTTGCCGAATGCAGTTATGCACCCAGTGCTGCAGCCCCAGAGAGCCCTGTCCGAGGAGTCTCACCAGCCCCAAACAATGTCAAGGTGCCCCCGCGGCCTCATTCTGGTGAGTCCCTTGTAACTAATGAAATCTGTCCTGAGGCCTCCTGCAAACTACTGGGGGTGGTGGGGGTGGGGAGGGCAGGGAGGATGGTCTATGTGATTGTTAATATAGCTGCAATGATTTTTAAATAGTCATGAAATGTTCTCACTATGAAATAGGTTATTCACTATAAAATTTTTTTCGCTCTTTTAATCTCATTTCAGTAGTTCAGTAATGTTAAAAAATATTATTATTGTCTTTATTATGTCCAAGACATATTTGGTATAGCTATAGTCTCTAATCCCGACAAAAGTATCTAAGAGGTACTAAAAATGAATATTTAGCCAGCATTGGTGGGGAAACTACTGTGACAAAAGTAAGTCAGGGAAATGCAGTAGGGATGGAATTGCACACTTCCATCTTCCCCCACTGGACGGTCAGCTCCTGAAGCTCAGGACCCAGTGTCATTGCCTTCTGTGTTTCTGGTATTCTTGGTGTCTCCCCAGGTCCCAGCACAGTGTGTTTGATCTTTAGTAATCAATTAATTCATGTTTGCTGAATTGAAACAAAAAGGGATTAATCAACAGAACATATAGTTAATAATATTGTATGTTTGGAAGTTACACGAGTAGATTTAAAATTTTTCATCACAAGAAAAAAAGTGGCAATTTTGTGAGGGGACAGTTAACTACACTTAACTGTGATCATCATTTTGCAATATATGCATATGTCAAATCATTATGTTGTATGTCTTACACTAATACATTTTAAAAAGTGTAGTATGGCAAAATCTAAAGCGCTAGGTAAAATAGAAGGAATTCTGGAGGGTAAATTATATCCAGTTCTCTTTCTCTTATTTTTTTTAAAAGACTTTATTTACTTATTTGACAAAGAGAGACACAGCGAGAGAGGGAACACAAGCAGGGGGAGTGGGAGAGGGAGAAGCAGGCTTCCCGCGGAGCAGAGAGCCCGATGCGGGGCTTGATCCAGGACCCTGGGATCATGACCTGAGCCGAAGGCAGATGTTTAATGACTGAGCCACCCAGGCGCCCCTTCTCTTTCTCTTATTACTGAAAGTTTCAGGGCACATGAAAGTTATTTTGGCATAATGTGGTAAAATACATTATCGTTCAATGGATAACGATAAGAGGGCCCATTAGTAGAGTACTCACCCTGGGATTCCATTCTAAGGTCTTCACACTTGTTAACTCACTTCATCCTTTCAAGAGTTCCTCTTCCTTACCCACTAGTAATAATCAAAGACCACACATTCCACCTTCTTTCTGGTGTTCCTTCTTATACCATAAAACCCAGAAACTTAACGGTTACATTTGCAAGAGCCCCTCAGTGGGAGTTAAGTGTTGCCATCTGGTAAGATTTATATTTCAGATGTGGGGCTCAGGTCATCTTTTTGGTTGCTGTCTGCTCTCAAGCATGGCTGGAGACATGGGCTTTCCCTGCTACAATATCCCCGTGTTCAGATTCTGGATTTATGGGTGTCCGATGGCAAAGTCAGCAGATATGGTGGCTTTCAGATTGCAGTGGTGACCCAGTGCCTAATCTTTAGCCCCACAGATGTTGTGACAGCAATTGAAGTGTGAGTGGCATCCTGACCCCCCTTCCTCCCGATTGTGATAAAGGCTGTGCCCCGCTGGGAGGGCCAGGTGCAAGGTGCTGCTCTTGGTTTGTGAGGGTCAACACCAGAGTTCACTGCTCCAGCCCTGCCAGTGAAATTGCAAACATCTAATTACCTGTCTTATTTACAGTTTAGCTTAAAATAGGGTGGTTTCTGTTTCCCACAAGTGAACATTAACTGAATAGACTCACCATCCGTGACTCTGTTCTTCTTCCTTCCTTCCTGCTCTCTTCTGGAGAGAGGTAACTTTACAATATTTTTCTTTCTTCAGCTAGAACTAATGAATTCAGTTACTTTTGGGAAATGCACAAAATCTCTTCATCTTTTAAGAAACTGTGTTAACTGTGGCTTCAGTAAAAAAGATAGCATTGCTTACAGAGAATATATCTTTAAATTAATACAAAAGGGAATTAAGCAAATATTTAAATGGTTTTAGAGTGATTTCATTAGATGAATCTATGAAATGTGTATGGTTGAGAGACTGATGAAATAAGAAATAAAATAAAAAAATGTAATTATAACTCAGCGCACATCCCCTTCTGGCCACAGGTCAAACAGCAAACATATAATCTCTTTAATTAGGGAAAGTGTCAGTTATATGGGTAGGAAACACAGGAAAACATGTCTTATACTGAAATATGTACTTTTAAAAATTAGTTTACCCAGATCAAGAAAGCTCTTCCAGTCTTTCTTTATATCATCTTCCTGGGCATTGAATTAGTTTTGTAAACATAAATATCCTTTTATTATGTTATTGTAGTATAACTTTACCTGCAAGATTTCCAATATTTATAAACATATCCCTGAGGTGACCTTACTTGAAATCCAGATATACTCTCATTTATTTCAGCAACTGACATGTGTCATGTCATGTGGTAGACGTTTTTTCAGTTTGATCTAAATATATTTTCCTGAAATATCATTTCAGAGCCCTGTAGAAAAATCAAGGAGTGCTTCAGAACTTCCAGTGAGAATCCCTTAGCAATTAAGAAGGTAAAGAAACAACTCTTTGCAGTTACCTATTTAGTTCAACTTCTGTCATTTCCTCTCTTTTTCTTCACGTACCTTTCTGAAAAGGTACATTTCACAATATTTTTTACGGCTTTAAAAAAAATTTTTAAATTTAAATTAAATTTGGTTAACATATATTGTATTATTAGTTTCCAGAGTAGATTTCAGTGATTCATCAGTTGCATATAACACCCAGTGCTCATTCCATCACCTTCCTTAATGCCCATCCCAGTTACCCCATCCCCCCAATGCCCACCCCTCCAGCAACCCTCACTTTGTTTCCTAGAGCTACAAGTCTCTTATGATTTGCCTCCTTCTCTGTTTTCATTTTATTTTATTTTTCCTTCCCTTCCCCCATGTTCATCTATTTTGTTTCTTAAATTCCACATATGAGTGAAATCATATGGCATTTCTCTTTCTCTGACTTATTTTGCTTAGCATAATACCCTCTAGTTTCATCCACATCATTGCAAATTGACATAACATAACAATGTATGTTAACTAACTGGAATTTAAATAGAAACATTAAAAATGGTTTATTTAACTTAGCATCATTATTTTAAAATTTATTCATGTTGTTATGTTCACCAATAATTCATTCCTTTTTATTACTAAGTAGTATTCAGTTGTATGGGTATCCCACAATTTGTGTACATGTTCACCTGTTGATGGACATTTAGCTTGTTCCCAATTTTTGCCAAAGCTGATATGAACATTTGTGTACAAGTCTTTGTATGGATATATATTTTCTTTTCTCTTGGGTGAAGACATAGATGTGGAATGACTGGGTCTTACTGTAGGTGTGGGTTTAAATTATTAAGAAATTGCCAAAGATTTTTTCAAAAATGATTGTATGATTTTTTTATTCCCACCAGCAGTGTATCAGTTTCCTTTCTCTCACATCCTGCCAAAACTTAGGATGGTCAGTATTTTTCACTTTAGCCAATTTAGTGGGTATGGTGGTATCTCATTGTGGTTTTAATTTGCATTTCCCTGATGACTAGTGAGGTTGACATCTTTTCATGTTCTTACTTGCCATCCGTATATCTTCTTATGAGAAATGTGTGTTCAAAGCTTTGCCCACTTTGTAAATTGGGTTGCTGGTCTTTTTACTATGAAGTTTTAAAGATTTTTATATATTCTAAATAAAAATTATTTTGTCACATATACATTTTGCAAATATTTTCTTCCAGTCTGAGGCTTACCTTTTAGAACCAAAATTTATAACTTTGATGAAGCCCAGATTTAAAATTTTTCTATCATAGTTTCAAGTCCACATGATGTTTACATCTCTATTGTGCCTTTTTGTAAAGGCTAACCTCTAGTACGATATCAAATAGAAGTGATGAGAGCAGACACTGTTGCCTTGCACCTAATTATAGGGGAAAAGCTTATACTTTCATCATTGAATGTGATTTCAGTTGTTTTTTTTTATAGCTGCCCTTCATATGGCGGATTCCTCAGTGTTGCATTCCTAGTGTTATGAAAATTTTTATCAGAAATAAGGATTACTTTTTGCCAAATGCTTTTTCTTCATCTATTTGAAATGATCATATTTTTCTTTTTTAATCTGCTAATATGATCTTTTTTAATCTGCTAAAATGATCATATTTTTCTTTTTTAATTGTATTGGTTAACTTCTAAATGTTAACCAATATAGATAGTTTCTTCTTTAGTGAGCTTTGGTAGTTTCTATTGTTCAAAGAATTTGTCCATTTCATCTAAGTTGTTGAATTTACTGTTATAAAGTCATTCATAACATATCCTTTTAATGATTATATGATCTGTAGAGATGTTCTCCCTCTCATTCCTGACATTGGGAATTTGTGTCTTCTTTTTTTTCTTGATGAGTCTAACTGGAGTTTTGGTAGTTTTATTGATCTTCTCAAAGAATGAATTTTCCTTTCATTGGTGATATCTATTGTTCTGATTTTCTCTTTCTATATCATCGATTTTGGTTCATGTCTTTATAGAAGATGGAAGCTTAGGTCATTGAGTTGGGACATTTTTCCTTTCTAATATAATCATATATTATTATAATTTTTTAAATAAACACTGCTTTGGCTGCATGCTTCAAATTTTACAATGTTAAGTTTTCATTTTAATTCTGTTCAAAATACTTCCTAATTAACTGCTTAATTTCTTCTTCATGGGTTACTTAAAATTATGTTATTTAATTTCCAAATATTTGGGTGTCTTAAAGATATCAATTTAATTCCATTGTGGTCAGAGAAGATACTTGGTATACTTTGAAACTTTGTAAATTTATTGAAACTTGTTATATGGCCCCAAGAATAGGTCAACCTTGATACATTTTCTAAGTGCCATCAAAATGTTGCTCACTCTGCTGTTGTTGGGTAGAATGTAATATAAATGCCAGTTCAGTTGGTTGATACTGTCATTCAGGTCTTCTGTAGCCTTACTGATTTGCTCTCCACTTTTTTTTTTTTTTATCAATTATTGAGAAAGAGGTGTTGAAATTTCTGACTATAGTTGTGGGTTTCTGTATTTCTCTTTTAATTTATATTAGTTTTTTTTTTTTTTTCAGAGCTCCAGTGGCGTAATCAGTTAGTACATGGTACTTTTATCAGTTTTTAATCATGTTTTGAAGCTTTCTTATTAGGAGTATTACTATTTAGGTTTATGTCCTTTTGATGAAATGACCCTTTTATCATTATAAAATTACTGTCTTCAATCCTGGTAACATTCTTTGATTTGAAATCTGTTTCATTATAGAACTATTCAGATTTTCTATTTCTTCTCAAAACGATTTTGGTTATGAAATTATTCATTTCATGGAAACATTCAAATTTATTGATAATGTTATAATAACCTCATGTTCTTTTTTAAATATATGCAGTATCTGTAAGACCTATCAGTTTTGTTAAATTATGTCTTTGTTTTTCTTGATCAGTTTCCATAGTAGTTTATCAGTTAGTATAACAAAGAACTAATTTTTGTGGGGTTTTTTGATTCTCTGTTATATATTTCTTTTCTATTTTGTTGATTTATGTTATCTTTTCCCTCTTTCCATGCACGTACTTTATTTTATTGTTCTTTAGTTAACTTCTTTTATCTTTCTAATGTATATATTTAGCTGTAAATTCTTCTTTGAGGATTGTTTTAATTGCTTTCATAATTTTTGTTATCAGCATTAAGTTAGAACTTTTTCTAATTTGCACTATAATTTCTTTTTGCCTCATGACTTAGTGACTGGATATTATGTATGAAAAGTTATTTGTAGGAATCTGAAGCTCATGATAAAAACACTTTTTTTCCAAAGAGAACTTTGTGCTTGCTTCTGTAGGAACCCAGAGGCCCTACCAGCTCCGACTAACTTAAACCAAGTTCGAAACTTGACCTTAGGTTATATTTCTTCAAGGACCATTGGACTTCTAGGTCACCTTCATCTTCAGGGTGTAGCCCTTTGTTGGCCCTTATTTGGGTTCTGAGCTTTGAGTCCTATCTTTCAGGACCTTTTAAGCTGTCACAAGAAAAGTTTTCACTCTCCGGGATCTTACAGGGACTTCAGGCAAAAATGGCTACTGTACTCCCTACAGCTGAGGCTTCTCACTTCCCCTTTACTTTGGCTTATTAATTCCTTCTTTATTCACTCCTCGACAGTTTTAATCTTTTTAAATTTTAATCTGCTTTTTTAGTTGTATCTTAGCGGGAGGGTTGAACCAAAAAATATATATTGCTATTCCCTAAAACAGGAAGTCTTATTATATAATAAACTTTAACAGAAGAATGCATGTATCTACAATATAGCTTTAACATCACTAAATGTCAGTAGTTCAGTATTTTTTCCATCAATTCCAATCATCACAGTTCCCAGCTGTTGACCTATTCAGCCACTGGCTTCTGCATGTGTTAAATAGCCCTCACTTCTGAAGGTTAAAAGCCTTCCTTGGAATTAGCACATAGATCTAAGGCTTCTGTAACTCTTCTTGGACTTAAAGCTCTTATAACCTTTTTTTATTTTTGAATTACAGAGTATATTTGCCTCCCAGAACAAGAGCATAGCCTTCCTCTTTCCCCTTCCAGTTAAGCAAGGGAAGTAATTTAGCTGACCTCTCCAGTTCTCCAGCTCTCAGCTGTCATCCCCAGGGCAGCGAAAGCAGCATGCAGTGTCTACACAGACATTGCATAAAATCTTTTGACTGTCTTCTTCCTGTCGTAAGGCTTCCTAACTTAACAGAAAAATCTCACGTGTGATGAGTTGGTTGTTATCTGGAGCAGCAAGATAAATAAAGGCTATGCAGCATTCAAAAATTATTACCTCGGTGTGTGACCGAGGGCTTATTAAAAATGGCTTCACAAAATGTAAATAATATCTCACTCTGTGTTCTGTCTCCAAATGCAAATATTTGATAATTAGATTTTTATGGGAAGATTAAAACTAACCTCTCTTTACTTTCATGTACATCTCTTGTATATTGAATATGCAAGAATATGAATATTTCTCATTCATTTTGTATTCAACTTTCATAGAAAATATAAGTGGATGCAAATGCGTATTGATTATGTTATACCTTTGATTTAGGAAGAACTTAAGGTAAAAAAGCCACTGTCACCTCCAAAAGCATGCTCTACTGCTGACTCTTGTTCTTCAGAGTTGATGAATACCAAGACTGACGTCAAAGAGAACACTGTTTGCATACCAAACTATCTGGCTCAGGAAATCAAAGTAAGAGGCAGGTTTATTAAATCCATAACTTGGGAACAGAATGAACATACAAAAAACCACATTATTGGCATCCTTAAGACTCTTTAGTGGTTCCCCTTTAACAATTGAATTGATTTAAAGCCACTTAGCCTGAAATCCAAGGCCTACTTCTTCGATTATTTCCAGTCACTGTTACAGAAACACAACCTTTGGTCTAGACATAATGAAGAACTTGGCATCTTTCTTCCCGTGTTTCTCTTTATCAGCTTCCTAATGCTTGAGAGGCACTACTTCATGCTGTTACCTATACATTTCCTTCGCATATATTAAGGCAGAGATTCCTCCAATCAACATTCATCTTTCCCTCTTATCTGTGGAAAACTCTTTCCTCAAACCTACTCTGCCTGGGGTTACAAACTTAGTTTTATTTATAGTAATGTGTCATATCAGACTAGTGGAAGGTTCTCTCCAGCCACAGTTATTTCTGAGAATGACATATAACGAAGAACGAATTAATCAGCTGATGTTTGTTTTCCTTCTTTAGATCCTTTTGGTAACCTCCACATTGCCTCCCTGTAAGACCCAGTGCAAGGAATTAAGGGTGAAAGCATTGTAATGATGACTCTGATAGTTTTAAGTGAGTTATCTGTAGTAGCAATTACAAATGGGGGAGCATATTATAAGGATTGTTATTGAATAGTCCTGATAAGGAACTATTTTAAAAGTAAAGCATAACAGTGGCATTGGGTATAATTATGCTGATGATTAAAATTAGGAAGGAAAATAAAATGAAAAGAGAAGAGGGGAGAGTATCTGCAGATAAGAGTTGTGGTTATACATGATTTCCTGATGATTCTGGTGAAAGACTCCCGATTAGATAGAGTCTTCAGAATCATGGTCCATCTTGCCAGCTACGCCCTGGCACCACTGATTCTCTATAACTTGTTCATTCCCACCTTTGGGGAATTTCCCTACTGAGAAATCTCTTCTCCTTGATCCTCTCAGTGGTCGCCTTCTTCTCATTAAGGTCTCAGTTACAATATCACTCAGAAATACTTTCCCTGACCACCCAATCTAAAGTAGCTACCTACTCACTCTCTATCCTATTACCCTTTGTTATTTTTTGCATAGCACATGCCCTATCTGATATGTTTGCATTTATTTGTTTCAACAGTGTCTCTGCCTCTCACCCCACTCACACTAAAGTTTAAGTATTATAGGATCTCCTACTCCTCTGCCTTGGTTCCTGCTTTGTCTTCCATGCCTAGATAAGTGCTAGGCATCTAGTAATTATTAAATAAGTATTTATTGAATGTTGAATACAAAAATTAAAAAGAAAATTTTACCAAGATCAAAGTTGAACTGTAGAAAATCAGCTAACAGATATAGGCCCTCTCTATTATATGTCATCTGATGATGTTCACATCTGATATATGCAACCAAACCATAAACTGAGTGCGGTTTTAGTCAGGCTGTCTTCCTTTCTTAGGCACATCAACAATAGACCAGCAACATGATCCTATAGAACTGGACTTTGGGGCATCTATTAAAGAGCCCTCCTCTCAAAGGCATCTCCACCTCACAGATATTGACTTAACTGGACACCAATACAAAATCCACTAAAATGTAAGCTCTTTGAAGGAAGGGATCCTTTCTATTTCATTCACAACTGATTCATCAGCACTCATCACTTTGCTTGAAAACTATTAACTGGTGCATACACAGCATGGCATTTTATCAAATAGTTGGTGGCTATTTGTGAAATAATACAGAGAGGGTAAAGTGAGAAAATGGGTCTTAAACCAAAATTTTTTGGCTTGTATAAATCAGTCCAAAAAATAGATCTCATTTTGGTGGCATTCTAACCTTCCATACCTTCTAAAAAAAATCTGAAATATCTTTCAATTTCCTACTGTCCAGGCTGGTAACTCTGAGTGGCTGTGAAGGCAAGACATGTTTGTGCAGGGGTGTGTATGAAAGAGTATACAGTTTCACAATTATTACTTTAAAGGAAAAGAAAAACAGAATTCTGTGTCTCTTAGTATCTTGTCTTTAGGCTTCCTCTCAAAAATGTTGAATTTACAGAAATAATAGTCTCTTTAGTATTGACATGAAAAGTCTGCCAAACACCTTCATTTATTTTGTAAATATCTAATATCAAAGACAAAATACTAGAGTTTGGGAATACAGGTCATTGCTTCATTTCACATAGCTTATGAGAGGGATTGTACAGGCATTCAAAGAACATTTAGGAGGATATTTTGGGGCTGAGAGAGTCTTCAATGGGAAAGAAACCTAAAGAATATTTAAGATATAATTAAAAGATGAAGAGAAGTATGGAGAAGATCCTTCCCAGACAAGAGACCTTCCTATCTAAAGGCTAAGAGGCAAGAGCACTGTTTATTCGAGGAAGTAAAAACAATATGGCTGATTCAGAGAGTGCAGGGAGAAGACTGCAAGCGATGAGGCTGGAGACTTAAGCAGAGACCAGAAATAAAGGATTTGTTAAGCCGTACTGAAGTGTTCAGATTCATTTGAAGCGCTGTGGGAAGCTAGGGAAGAATTTTAAACACTGAGTTATACTGAAATTACTTTGTAAGTATAATAATTACATGGTCAGATTTGTAGTTCAGAAAAATTGCTCTAGATACAATATGCAGAATTAATTTAGAAGGTGCAGGCAAAATTGCAGGGAAAGAACTCTGCTTCCAAATGTTAGATTAGGTCCAAGACTTAGCTTCCTGCTGTAAACAACTATATAACTGGGAAGAACACATGAAGAGACTGCTTTTAGGCATTATGCAACAGACAGTATAGATTTATGACAGTTGAGAGAAGGAACACAACTGGGATGATTTCCACATCCAACCTAGATTTCAGCCTGAGGCACATTCCTAATCATGGCACAGTGAAGTGGAGCCCAAACGGAGAGTAGCAGCTTCACTAGGGAGAGAAAACAAAGTTTAGAGTTTGGGGATTCTGAGGTGGCTGGAATTTACAAATAAGATACTGAAGAAGGGGAATCTGTAGAGAGAATGAGCTCCAGAAATCCGTAGAGGGTGCCATGAGTATTTAGTTCAGCATAAATTGCACATGCACAGGATGAGAGTCTGAGACCTGGCAGAAGAGAGCTAATGGGAGGCCCATTGCTTAGAGATGCTGGCGTTCTGATGTGCCAGAGTGGAGAGACCTTGCTGAACACACTAAGAATGCAACTGAAACCCTAAAAAGAGAATGGGGTACTCTAGCCCTACAGGAGGGGCTACTCCAGATCTATAATCTCAAATCCTAAAATCAAGTTTCAGCAGATCAAATTCACCTGCCAATATATTAAGCACCTTCCAGAAAAAACAAAACAAAACAAAACAAAACAAAACTCAATGGAAAGAATGCAGGAGAGTTCCTTAAAGGACATATTCTATTTCCTCTCATTAAAGGGATAAATAGAGTCTCTCAAAGCTGATCACTGAGTAATCTGTAAGTCAGAAGAAGCTGGGAGGAATGTGTAATCACCATATTGATGAAAAATCCATGAGAGGCAAAGTAACCTAGGGAATCTTTTTAAAAAAAGAAAACATTTCAGGCAGATGAGGGAAAAGGATGTTGCAGAGTAGCTCCAGCAAGAATTGATGCTAGTTTAGCCTGGGTCAAGGTTGTGGGGATAAAAAGGAATGGAGAGATTTGAGAAATATTTAGAAGGAAGGATTTACTGCTTGTAGTTGCATTTACATCTTGTAGATGCGAGGGAGTTGGCCAGGATGAATCTCTGGGTCTGGCTTGGACATCTATTCAGTGTATGCAAGTGTTGTCCACTGAGATAGGGGAGTGAGGAGGGACCAAGCTTGGAGCAGGTTCTAAGAAGAGAAAGATGGGTTTAGTTTTAGATAATCTGGGTTCAAAGTCCCTATAGAATATCAGAGAGGATACATTTGGTAGGCAGATGGATGTATAGGACTGAATTTCAGATAGCTCTAAATTCTAAAGAATAGACACAATTTAGGATCAAATTGGAAACATCATTACTTGTGCTTAATGTTTTATACGTTAGTTTATTATAGTCCAATTTTCTTACAGTTGTTTCATATATTTATCTCCTCTATCATCCACACATCAGCCCTTAGCGCCAGATAAAAAAAGTCAAGGAAGGATTCTGATTGACAAAAGGGAATTATATTCCCCACTCCACTGGGCCAACCACTGTGTTCAGGGAACTGAGGAAAAATGACTCCAGCTAGATTCACCCACTAAGAGAGGAGCAATGCAGGCAGGGACAGTTCTGTGACTGAAGAATCCCAGTTAGAACCCTTGGTACAGCGGGGAAGGATCCATTCCTCCAGAAGGAAGAAAAGCGAATCTGTCCTCCAGAAAATGTGGGTACTGAGCAGACAAAACAAGAGAAACACTGTATCACCTCCCCCAAATTCTTAACTTGTATTGGAGATGTTTTAAGATTCCACTGCATACTATTTGAAATCGGGTTCCCAGGCTAACATCCCAGTGGACTTAATTGAGTGTCACGTGCAGAGTGGCATTTGGGAAGATGAAATTGATGGGGAAGGAAAGGAAATCTTATAGCCCGTGTGCCGTTTATTTGCTCATTGTGTGACTCTAATACTCTCTGTCAGATTCTGGCAAAGCTCTGCAACATTTTACGCACTGATTCTCTGGCCGAAGTTCTACAGTGGCTGCTTCACGCAAGCTCAAAAGGTGAGATTTAAAAGAAGCATTTGCAAACGCTGAGCTCAGTTTCTTGTCAGAAAGTAGGAATGTGCCAATATCTGAAATTTTCTACCTTGGCTTTGCAAACATACTGCTGCAATATTACTTCCCTAGTGATTCAGTATCCAAGTCTCTGCAGTTCTCTCTGACTGACTGCATGCAACTGGTCGTTCGGTGATCCCAAATTTGGCACGCCCCAATTTAAACTTCTTGGGGTGATGTGGAGCACCGCGTCCAGGGCTGGTTTGTGCTTCTTCTCCAGGTCCACACACCCAGGGGTATCCCTGAGCCTATTTCCCGGCCTAATGTGAATCCTGAGCACAGAGCCTGTTTCCTTTCTCTGGTACGGATGGCAGTAGCATAGCCTTCCAAGTTCTCCATTCTGACAGCCTTGCCAATTCCCCCACCAAAACCATCAATTCAGTCCTCTCCCAGACTCCTTTGGGGCCTTTGCGGCCTGTTCCATGAAAGCATATCCCAGTCCCAGTTGGGACAACCATAAATAGCAAAGATTAGCTGTCCTGAAACCTAGCTGGTCATCAGACTGAGTGAGGCAAAACTTTGGAGGTGGGTGGAGTCTGAGGATTTGAATTTCTAACAAGTTCCCAGGTGATGCTGATAAAGCTAGTCTGGGGGCCACTCTTTGAGAATCTGCACTAATGAAGGTTAGGAAATAGCAATGTGTTAGGGATAGACTAATATTTTTGAATAGGGAGCATTTTGGAAATAGTCCTTTACCCAGGAATTCAAGACTACTTGGCAAGCAATTAAATATTTAGGGGTAAATAGTCTTTAGTTCTTTTTTTTTTTTTCCTTTTTAAGAATGTAACTTTAAAAAATATATACAAACAATAAGTGTTTATTGTTGGGGGGAACCCAGATGAACCAGAAAAAATACAAGAAAAGAAGAACAATAATCAATCAAAGCACAGACATCATTTCAGTGATGACTTTGGTATATATCTTTAGAGATATGCTTGTAACTATTTATTATTTATTAGTCTGTATTTTAACGAGATCATATGATTTTGAATAGGTATGCTTTCTTCTTTTATTTGGCAGCAGCCTGAACGGCGGGTTTTGTACTGAATATTTAAAAGTTATTCTACTGCCATTTGGGGACAAGTCCCTCAGTGAGTTAATGACTCAGGGTGCTCTATAGTACCACAGTTGCACAGATACCAGTTTGATGTGAACCAACTTTTCCACAGAAACCTTGACTCACAAATAAATGCCTACTCAGAAAACATATTACCAGCCTTTCATACTAGAGTGCTGGATAAAAGAACTAATCTTGAGTTTCTAGCCGACATGATAATTATAACCTTCATGCCTACCCCCCCTTTTTTTTAAATCAGAAAAAGAGTGGGTCTCAGCTTTGATTCATGCTGAACTGGCTGAAATAAACTTGTTGGCCCAACAAAGAAACATCACAGCAAATCTAGCTGCAGAGACTAGGAAGCCATCCAAAGTTAAATCACCCCCAAATTCACCTGCAAAATTGAAAGTGCTGACCAGAACGAGGCAAGGACATCAACCCACTAGGTAATTAGATCTAATGGCTACCTACAGGGCATATGGTACAGAAAGACTTTTAATTTTCTTTTTGTTATCTTTCAAAACACTAAACATGCTGATGTTTTCAGTCTCTTCTTTATTCAGTAAATGACCACAATGTGTATTTGTTTTCTTTCATTTTCATAAATATGAGAATCATTCTAAATTCTATTATAGCCACCCAGACATCTAAGAAAATGTAGTTTTTTTCATTTGATCTAAAAATGGAAGCAATAAAGGCAGTAATTGTATTATTATGTATTTATTGTTAAAGGCATATCACATAAGTATCACCTTTTTGTGTAGAGCAATGCTAGATTAAAATAAATTGCTTCACTTAATTTTCTCTGGCACACTTCTGCAGGCTGCTAGAGGGAAAAATAATGATTACAGGAGTTGGAAATTATTTTAGTGTAAATTTTTCTTAAACCTTATTATTTCAATGACAGAAGAAAATACATATTTATGTATAACATGGTGAAAGAATGTGACGTTATTTAAGTCAGGAGAAAAAATCTTGTTGCTTTGAAATTAAAAGTTTCAAGAGAAAATAAATATTCAAAACCCAAGTCACTTTTAAAAATCACTGAGACAGAGAATTTTGTATTGCAATTTGTCTCCACCTTAGAGTTTCTATAAAATTGGAAACTGGGAAATAGGGCCAGTCTTTCTACTGAAAGTCAGAAGAATTTTTCATTGAAAAGTACACTTAATGCTGTCTGCATCGAAAAACAAAGAATTAGGATAGAATATTTAAGATATATATGTACCTAGCTTATTGATGATAGTGCAATCTATAGAAAACACTTGTTTGTATCTGTGAATTTCATTTTCTCTTTCTCCAATTACTTAGAGTGTCAAGTCAAGGATCTGAAGGAAATAAGGAAGTGCCAAAAGGTTAAGTACAGTTTGTGGTAATTACCGGGTTGGTATAGGGAAACCAGTAAGTATTGAACTCTTTAGGGACACAGACAAGGATCTATGGTTTTAAAGGCAGTAAAATTCAGTAATGACTTCTAATTACTTTTAAGGGAAGTGTCTGCTGAATTTCTCATCAAGACAAATTTGACATAAACTTAACTTTGTTTTGAAAGGCAAAGTGCCTCATCAGAGACAGATAGATACTCTTTGAGAAGTAAGATAGCAGGATAGCAGGAAATATAGGTTTAGTCATGCCAATCCAGTGACAGGAGAAGCCCTGCACTGACCTAACAAAAGGACAATGATCTCAGAGTTTGGTTCTTCATAGCTTAACTGTCAAGCTAAATTATTTTAACTAGAAACCAAGTCGATCATAGAAAACAGTAAAATGGCAATCGGCTGCAAGCAGATGCTCTGTGAAACAGGTGAAGTACAAGAGAGAGGAGCAGTTTTGTGTCCCTACCAGAAGCCCAGCCACACCCTACAGTTAAGACCAAGAAAAATAAAGACTTGTAGATTGTCCAACTTTGGTCCAGAATAGACCAATTGAAACATCCCTGTGGGTTTAGCAGCTTCTAACTTTAAAACAAGTGTAGCAACAATGACTATAGAGCAAACAACTAACAAGTCTGTCTTTAAGCCTCCACAAAAGTCTATCCTGTTGTTTCTACAAGTTTCTCTTATACCAGGAATCGTATGGTAATCAATTAGAGTTCTTTGAGGTCACTCTAAACCCCAGCAGCTTTGCTGGTGTTAACCAAACCCAAGAGGTTATATGTGCTAACAGGCAATAAGAAATACAGTAGAGAAGTTAGAAAATACTCCCTTACCCTGCCACACCAAGGATAGTCTATTGTATCTGACTTCTACCAAACTCCTCACCCTAAGACTACAAAATCACAACAGGGATGGTTTTTATTACTCAACTTTATGTCTTACCTGTTGGTCCCTGTCTAGATATTTGAAGAAGTTTTGTATAAGGAGCCCCAATCACACTTTTTTCTCTCCGGTGGTCATAGTCAGCACCTCTCCAAATCCTTATTCCTGCGTGGGTCTGACCTATAATCTTGGGAAGCTCTTATGAATATAATTCACTTGTTTTAATCTGTTTGTCCATTTTCTTTTTTGTCTATCAGGACTATAGATCCTTTTCCTTTCTCTCACTGGTCCCATCCTTGCCTATCACCTTTACAGATCATCAGTTCTAATTCATTCCTTCCAAAATAATGTTTGATTTTAAGAGGATAGAACATATCCTGCATGTTATAGAACAAATAACTCATGAAAAATGAGCAGGTGGTAAGAAAGATAAGATTGGTTCTTTTATGAATTTGGGGTATATTTGATTCACCTAAACTTCATGTAGTTTTTTTTTTTTTTTTTTGTATGTCATTTGCTACTTAAACATGTGGCAGAAGCTATATTTGATGGTTCAATTTTGGTCTTATTTAGTTTTTTTTTCTATTTCAGAGGCTGAGCACAGGCCTCCATTGTTTATAAGAAGAAATAATATGAAAATGCCCATTGCAGAATATTTCAGCAAACCAAAATCTCCTCCCAGGCCTAAAATTCAGGAAAGCTTATCAACAAAACCAATGTCTGCAAGGAGTATGCTACAAGGATGCAATCTCTCTCCCCAGAGAGCATTTTATCCTTAAACATTCCAAAGGTAGAAATTCTAGATTGAGCAATTTCCTTCACAGACATGAGCTTCACTCCATAACAATATCAAATTATTTTTAAAAAGTATTTTGGTATCAGAGAATCAATAGCTAGTGGCACATGTAAATCTCAAAGCACCTGTATATAATGCTACTAAATAAATAATAATGGAGACAGTATTTCTATTTGTAGTTAATTTAGCACCATGTGTGAAAGAAGTATGTTTATTTATATACTACATTTCTAGTCTTGCACTGATTGTACTTGTACATAAGCATAGGGTCCTGATACTAGGAAAATCATCCGTACAAGAATCAGGCAGCTGCAGTTTGACCCATGCCCCAAACTCTTGATAGAGAAAAAACAAAAACAAACACAGAATTTTAACATCTGAGCTAATTTTCACAATCTACAGTGTTTCAGTGCTGTTGGAACAGAGTGGATTCCGTAGTGATAATGGAAAAATACTGGCCTCCTCCCAGAAAAAGATATAAAAATTATCATTAATTTATGAGCCAGAAAGGAAAGAGTTTCTACTCTTTGCTAATTGTGAATGATATTAACAAATTTCCTAATATTTACCTTTTTTGTATTTTTAAAATAAACCACTCTTGGGCCATGGCTATTATTCTTTCAGTGTATTGCTGGATTCTATCTACCAATTAGCCAATCTTTTAGAATGTTTGTGACAATATTCAAGAGATATTACAAATTTTGTGTATGTGTGCATGGGTGTGTGCAACGCCTTTTTTCTTTTTTTTAGAGAGGGAGTTGGGGGAGAGGTAGAGGGAGAGAGAATCCTTAAGCAGACTCCCTGCTGAGCATGGAGCCTGATGTGGGGCTCTACTTACGACCCTGAGATCATGACCTGAGCCGAAATCAAGCATTGGATGCTTAACCGACTTGGCTACCCAGGCGCCTCGTGTCTGTGCGATGTTAATGACACCATTTACATCATACTTAATTGTGTGTCAGGAATCATTCTAAACACTTTGGCTATAGTAACATTTAATTTTCACAATAACTAGTTGAGATAGCTACTATTGCTATTCTCTCTTTTTTTTAAATAAGAAAACTGAGGTGCCGAGAGTTGTGTTCATTGGGATAGGATAAACAGTTGTAATAAATGCCTTCTTCCAAATACGGTAGAGGATTACTTCTCACATAAGAGTTCAAAGTGTGTGTTTTGATGGAGTGTTCAACAATTTGTTCGTTGCGTATAACACCCAGTGCTCATCACCACACATGACCTCCTTAATACCCATCACCTGGTTAAAACTAATGATGTACTATATGTTGGCTAACTGAATAAAAAAATAAATAAAAAAACCAACAAAGTGTGTGTGTTTTTAGTCAGCAGGTGATTTTGCTTTGCTTGGTGATTCAGGGGCCCAGGATCCTTCCATCTTGTGACTTAACCATCCCCTGGGGTTTCATTGACAACTGCCTCCTGCTGGCAAAAGAGGGAAAGGGAAGTGGAAGAAAGTTTTGATTTCCTATGGGGGCCGTAATAAATTACCACAAACTTAGTGGCTTAAATCAACCCAGATTTAATCTCTTACATATCTGGGGCAGGGGTCTGAAATGGGTCTCACTGGACTAAAATCAAGGTGTTGGCAGGGCTGTACTCCTTTTGGAGGCTTTAAGTGAGACTGTTTCTTTGCTTATTGCAACTTCTAGAAGTTACCCACCCTCGACTCATGGCTCCCTTCGATCTTCAGAGTGAGCAATGGCCAGTGGAGTCTTTCTCACAACATATCCCTCAGACACTGACACTTCTGCCCCCCTCTTCCACTGTTAGGGACCCTGTGATTGTACCGGGCCTGCCTGGTATCCAGCTTATCCAAGATAATCTCAAGGTCAAATGATTAGCAATTTGATTTTCCCTTACTGTCTAACCTCACAGGTTCCAGGGATTAGGATCTTGACGGGACACTATTCTGCTTTCCAGAGGGAGGGTACAATCTGCTTAAAATCATGGCCTTGAAATGGCAAACATTACTTCTAGTCACATTCCATGGTTGAAAAATTGTCTAGCTGAAAGGGGGCTAATAAAATTCTTAAGCAGGAATAAGTTTCCAGTTACAACTATATTCTATGGAAAGGAAAACTGAATTCTGATGGACAGTGAACCCTCTGACTCAAAGGTTTGGTGGCTGACTCAAAGTGTGGCTGGAACCTATGTGCTTAACCACTAGCTACTACTGATATGTATCAAAACCAGGCTCACTTCATAAAGTTAATGTCAAAGCTTTCTCTCTTTTTTTTTTTCTGTTACAGAGAGTTTATTATAGCACTGCATATTCCTTTTCCTTGAAAACTTAGTAAAATTCACCTATCAGACAGACCATGTAGGTTTGGTGTTTTGTGGGGTGGTAGCCCTTTTTTTATTCCTTCTATGATACCTGGTCTGTTTATATTTTCTGTATTTTGGAGGACTGATTTTGGAAATTTAATTTTCTTAGAAAATTAAGCCTTTCATCCATGTTTCCAAACTTACCTTCATAGAATTGAGACAGATTTGTCATAATTCTAAATTCCTTGCTATATTTATTCTGCAATCTCATTTTTATGTATTAGTAATTTTTTTGATTCAGCTAGCTAATGGCTTTTTACATTTTATTATCACTTTCAAAAAAATCAGATGGATTTAGTGTTATGTTCCACAATGTTCCTATACTTTATTTCATTAATATCTCCTTTCATTACTTTAGTTTCTTTAGATTCATTAGTATTCTAATGTCTTGAGTTGGATGTTATTACTACAGTTATATTCATTCATTCTCAGGTAGTAGCATACGTTTTTAAGATGACAGAACTCAATACCCTTCATAATTAAAATACTCAGCAAACCAGGAATAGAAGGAAACCACTTCAACCTAATAAAAGCCATATATTAAAAGCTCACGGCTAACACTGTATTCGATAGGGGGAACCACTGAAAGATTTTGCTCTATGATCAGGAGCAAGGCAAGCATGCCCTCTCTCACCATACTTCTAGTCAATACAGTACTGGAACAGAATTCTAGACAGAGCAATCAGACAAGAACAAGAAATAAAAGGCAAAAAAAAAATTGGAAAAAAAGCAAATTAAAATGATCTATTTGCACATGACATGCTATTATTTGTAGAAAACTCTAAAGATTATATGTACACACACACCCCCACACACAAACTTGTTAGAATTAATAAACAAATTCAGCAAAGTTGATGATACAAAAATCAATTGCATTCCTAAACACTAGCAATGACCAATTCAAAAAGGAAATTAAGAAAAAAAATCCATTTACGATAGCATCATAAAGGATAAAAAACTTAGGGATACACTTAATCATGGAGGTAAAAGACTTTTACACTAAAAACTACAAAACACTGCTAACAGAAATTAAAGAAGAAACAAATAAATAGAAAGACATCCTATACTTAAGGATTGAAAAACAATATTGCTAAAATGTCCACTCTACCCAAAAACATCTATAGATTCAGTGTAATCCCTATCAGAATCTCAATGCAGATTGAGATTCTTGCATAAATAGGAAAAAAAATCCCAAAATTCATATGGAATCTTAAAGGACCCCAAAAAACTAAAAAAATCTTGAAAAAGAACAAAGTTGGAAGCTTCACACTCCCTGATTTCAAAACATACTATAAAGCAACGGTAATTAAGATAGTGTTGTACTGACAGAAAGACAGAAATATAGGCCAAAGGAACAGAATAGAGAGCTCAGAAATAAATCCTTGCATTTTATGGCCAAATGATCCCCAACACAGGTGTCAAGACTACACAACAAATGGTGTTAGAAAACTGTATTCCACATGCAAAAGAATGAAGTTACCATATGCCATATACAAAATTAACTCAAATTTGATTAAAGACATAAATGTAAGACCTAAAACTTTTAAACTCTTAGAAGAAAATATAGGGGAAAACCTTAAGAACATTGGATTGGGCAATGATTTCTTGGATATAACACCAAAAATACAAGCAACAAAATAAAAAAATAGATGGACTCCATTAAACTTTAAAACTTGGTGTCAAAAGAAACAATATAGTGAAAAGACAACCTATGGAATGGGGAAAATATTTGCAAATCATATATTTGGTAAGGGGTTAATAACTAAAATATATAAGGAACTTCTATAACTCAATGATAGAAGACATTGCTATTTAAAAATGGGCAAGGGACTTCAATAGGCATTTCTCTAAAGAAGATATGCCAACTGCCAGGAAGCACATGAAAACATGCTCAACATCATTAATCATTAGGGAAATGTAATGAGTATTCCCTCATTTTTAATTATCTACAAAGAGTCTGTGTAAGTTGACTTATTTACATTTGGTATGTCTCACAGATATGCCCATTAAAAAATAATGGGGCTATATTCTAAAACACTACACCAGTTTACTTTGAGTTAAAAAATCCTTTGGGGTTTTAAATTTTTTTAAGTTGGGAATTTTATTTATAACTTAGTTATTTCATATAAACTTTCAAATGTATAGACATGAAGTATTTTATAACATTCATTTTTCCAATATCTCCATTATTAATTTCCATATTTATATGTCTTCTCTCTCCCTCTTAAATTTTTTTAATTTTGCCAGAGTTTAGTCTATTAGTCTTTTCAAAGAGTCAATTTTTGCCTTGAGCCTCATATTTATCATGTTTATTACTGCTATCTTTATTATTTCCCTCTTTCAACTTTGAATTTATTCTGCAGTCCTTCTAACTTGTTAAATGCATAGCTCAATAATGCTAGTCTTTTTTTTCTCTAACTTAAGCAATTTAGGCTATACATTTTCCTTTAAATGTTGCTTTAGCTACATTCCACAAGTTTTTAATCCATGGTTTCATTAAATTTACTTTTAAATATATTCTAATTTTTACTTTCTTCTGTGACCAAGTTGTTTAGAAGTTTTTTTTTTAATTCCCAAACATAGAGTGTTTTTTGAATTTGTTATATTTTTAAATGATTTAATTGCATTGTGGTCAGATAATGTGATCTGTAAAAATGACCAATCCTTTTATTTTCTTGAGGGTAGTTTTGAGGTTTAGCATATGGTCAATTTTATAACTGTCCCATAGGACTTGAAAAGAATGAGAATTTTAAAATTCTTGGACACAAAGTTGTAGATCTATCCATTAGAACAAAAGTGTTTTTATTTGTAAAAAAAAAAAAAGTGTTATCTGTGCTTTTCAAATTTTATATATCCTATCTAATTTTTCTTTATGTTTATCAACTAGGAAGATGTGTAATAAAATTTTCCAACTATTAGGGTACATGTTGTAGTTCTGTGGTCTTTGTAATTTTGTCCATTTTGATTCATACATTTTGAAGTGATGTGTAAACACATTTTAAAATTTTATAATGAAGTCATGACCAACTTTATCTCTAACACTAATTTTTACCATAAGGACCATCTAACACTGAAGAAAAAAGTTCTAGGTGGTAAGGTGTTCCTCCCATTCACAAGTTTATTTCCTACTTTAATGTATTATCAGAGAAGCTGCCTATTTCTTATGTTTGGAACTTATTTTCTTTTATGAACATCACATGGGCGCTGGAAAACCACTTTCAGCCTGGAGGACTTAATATATATCGATTATTAATTACAGCATTTACATCTCCCATATATTTATCTTTTGTCCATTTGAGCTATCATGGGTTGGGAAGCATGTGTTAAAGTCTCCTTATACTAATGCATTTCTTAGTATTTCATGTAATACCCAAAGTTTTTTCCTCAATGAAGTACTATGCTACTTCGTACATAGATATTCACCAACTGTCAAATCTTCATTAAGAATTGCATTCTTTTTATTTTTTAAAAAAGATTTGAGAGAGGGAGAGCATGCACGTGTGCGTGCACAGCGGGGGCTGGGGGGTAGAGGGAGAGGGAGAAGTAGGCTCTCTGCTGAACAGGACCCTGAGGTCATGACCTGAGCCAAAGGCAGACACCTGACTGAGCCATCCAGGCACCATAAGGATTGCATTCTTGAACATTACAACATGCCCTTCTGTTCCTTAATTATAATGTCCATCTCTACCCAATGTTGAATTTGTGACTTCTTTTTCTTTTATTATTAGCCCAATATGCCTTTCTCTATTCTTTTATTTTCAACACTTCTAAATAACATTATTTAAGTACAACATATATTTATTTAGGTTTGGGGGTTTTTTAAATCCAACTTGGGTGATTTTAGACATTTAGACTTGCTCATAGGAGGGATTTGGTTTTGTGTGGTTATTGTGTTTTATGTTAGCATTCTGCTTTCATTGCCTTTTAAAATATTTCACTGAATGATCTGTGATAACCGTATTTTGTTTCATGAGTGTTCATTCTGGTAATTTAGAAAGTTCACATTTTTAAAAATCTTATCTACATCTGGGTTCCTCATAAAGCAGAGCCTGAAACAAAGGCTTATATATTATTTATTTTTTGGGGGGGGCAGATAATGTCAAACAAGAATGAGAAACAAGGGAAACAAGGTAAGCTATGAAGAAATGTTAATGAGAAAGTATTGTGAAGTTAACTGCTGCTTGGTTTCAAATCAATTGATTGCTCAACCCTAAGAGATAGGATAAATGGGTAACATTCCTATTTCACAAGTGAGGATACAAAGACTGACAGAGGTTCATTAAGTTCCCCAAATTCCTAACAGGTGGCTGTGCCCAAATTTAAGCCTACTCTTCCTACTAACTTTATTGTCTCTTCATTCTGACACTGCTTCTCTCCTTCACATTTATGAAGTGCCTCCTCTATGTGTCTGGCTAGGAGCTAGAAACACATAAACATCTCTATGCCAATTGAGATCAAAGTTTAATGAGCACCATAGGCCACTGCTGTCATTAATTCTAATCTCTGCCATTTTTTTCCCTTTTAAAATTTTCTTTTTACAACTGTTCTCTGTACATGTTCTCAGTGCTCTATGGACAATTCTTGCATTTTACGTATATCATCTGTGACTCTCTCCATCTAAAAAGTGAAATGATCTATCACTTTACTTTGTAATTGGCAGTAATTGGTGGGTTTCAAAATTGTTCATTCACCTTAACATTCTTTCAGAATTCCTTTTTCTTTTCCGATCTCAAGTGTTTTCAAATGCTCCAAGATGGCAACACACTGATTTCTGGAGAATAGTCCGAAGAATGCTCCTTCTTTTATGAATGAACTTGATTTATTAAGACTGCAATGAGAAAATTTTATTATTTCAGGACACATATCTCCTTTTGATGCATTTATTTAAATACTAGCTGAGAGGCGCCTGGGTGGCTCAGTTGTTAAGCATCTGCCTTCGGCTCAGGTCATGGTCCCAGGGTCCTGGGATCGAGCCCTACATTGGGCTCCCTGCTCAGCGAGAAGCCTGCTTCTCCCTCTCCCACTGCCCCTGCTTGTGTTCCCTCTCTCGCTGTCAAATAAATAAAATCTTAAAAAAAAAAAATACTAGCTGAATTCCCTACCTTTATTATGTTCCAATACAGGTGACTTCAATATTAGTGAAGTCTTAAATAAGGCACCTCAATAAGCCAAAACAATGTTGAGAGAAAATAATACATTAAGAGATTAGTATTATTTAAAAACCATTTTTAAATATCTCAGCAATTACTTATTTCTAATTGCAATCTTACCTTTTCTGAGGCGAAGGTTGTGTCTCCTTCTCATCATCAACAGCCTAAGATATGGACTTGTATGGATAAATTGTGCCTACTCAAATATAAGCTCAAGTCTTAATATCTTGTATCTTTGGATATGACCATTTTTGGAAATAGGATCTTTGCAAATGTGATCAGGTTAAGATGAGGTCATACTGAATTATATTGGACACTAATCCAATGATTGGTATGCCTATAAGAAGGACACAGACACAGGCAAGGAAGACTGAGGGCAGAAGCCATTTGATGACAAAGCAGATACTAGAGCGATGTAGCTGTAAGTCAAGAAACAGCAAGGATTGCTGGGACCACCAAAAACCAAGAAGAGGCTACAAAGGATTCTTCCCTATAGCCTTCAGAGGGAACATGATCCACCCTGACTCTGAGCTTTTAGCCTCCAGAACTGTAAGAAAAAAAACTGTTGTTTTAAGCTACCCAGTGGTAATTTGTTACGGCAGCCCTAGGAAATAATACAGACCTTTCATAATTAGTGACAAACTACACAGTGCCTGTAATGATTTTTTCCCCGCCTTTCAAAATTAACTTGTGCTTCATTCCATATCAAGTAAAAGGCATAATACAGTTGACCCCTGAACAACACACGTTTGAAATGCATGGGTCTACCTGTATGTGAATTTTTTTCAATACAGTACAGTATTATAAATGTATTTTCTCTTATGATTTTCTTAACATTTTCTCTAGTTTAAGAATACAGTATATAATACATATACAAAATATGTGTTAATACACTTACTGTGTTATCAGTAAGATTTCTGGTCAATGGTAGGCTATTAAGTTTTGGGACAAAGTTATACACGGATTTTCAACTGTGTGTGGGGGGGTCGGTGCCCCTAACCCCCACACTTTTCAAGGGTCAACTGGATTTCATGGTACTAAACCATATTTACTCAGGAAAACCCTGAACCTTTGAAAAATACAACTTAAGACATAAGCTTTGGTCTTCTAGAATTGTAGGGGCTTTTATTTATATACCTTGCTCACAGACCTTATTTTAAATGGATATCTATAATAGATTACTAAGAATAAAGCAACAAAAATTAAGAGACAGTAATATCAATACTAAATCTAATGAACTTTCTACCAAATGTGTACATAATTTGAGATGCCAATGAGTAAAAAGAACAGAAACTTAATTTATCCAAACTCAGTGAAGGCTTCTGAAATCTTACTTTAGCTGTGACAAGGAACAATCACTACTTTAAACATAACTGCTCTACATTTACCAGGAGAAAATCAAAACATCTCCTTTTAGCCCCATCTTCCCTTGCCAATGTCCTCATACAAATATTTAGTTAAGGATTTTTACACTTTCTGAAATTCAAATTCTTAGTGTTGTTCCACACAATCATTGATGCAAATAATACAGCTATTTGGCAACTCAGTCCTGTTATCATTAATGATACATGATTATGGACAGATATATATACAATTATATATTTTTTTCATACATGCTTAGATTTACAGAAACATAGTTATATTAGCTTGCATATTATATGCTAGTAGACAGATGCACATATAAAGTTAACTTTATTCACTTTAAGAACCAAGAAATATTTTATTTAATAGAAGTACATATAGAAGGAAAGGATAGCTAAAAGCTGTTTCCTTTTAAATTTAAGACAAAATTGATACTCAACGGTCTTTTAAAATAATCTAGCCTGAAAAATTACATTTGTAATTGAAATAATTTACCACCATTATTGAAATTAAGAAAATACATTAAGAGAGTCTTTACTCTTCAGTGATTGCTTTACAACCACGAAAAGGCATCACAGAGGAGGAACAGAGGAGGAACAGAGATGGGCTCCACAGTCCAAAAGAAATAAATTGTTGAGCTTATCAATCTAATACTTCTTCCTAAAATAACTGCATTCTTTTGAAGTAACTGAGTTGAATAAAAAAGCTGCAAATAGGAGGTAGCCTCCCATGCAGAACATTTTGGTAGACTTACAGGAGATTTACGAATATCTCCACAACTAAGTAGGCAATAAATCAGAAATACACTTGATATAAACACAAAAAAATAAAACTGAAAGGTCAGAAGGCACATTCTAAAAAATATAATTCAGTAAATTAAAGAGAATGAAGGTTTACCAATAAAGTAAAATTCTCAAGAAACTGTTGAGACTTAGAAAATTATTTTAAAAATTAAACATTTAAATTTTATGCAAAAACAAAAAACTTTCTTATAAGGGCTTTTTATCACTTAGCTCTAAAAAAAGTTTTAAAAATTCACAACAGAAATAAGAGGAAATAAAATTTTCTCCCAATTAGAATATTTTATGAAGCACCTCATTTTCTCCTAAGTTTTCCTTAATTAAGCTAAAAAAACAAAAAACAAAACAAAAAACAACAGATGACATTAGTGTGGTACAGAGTTCACTGTAGATTCATTGCTATTTTCTTTATCCTGCTTTTCTTCTTCATGTGGTGATTCTAGTTCATTTCTGCTATTTTCTTCCTCACTGGAATCACTGTCCAATCCATCTTCAACCCTGGCAGATTTCTTGTCATGCGAAGAACCTTCACAGGCTTTGTCTGTGGGAACAGCTCCTTTCCGTTGGGGTAAAATAGTAAAAAACGCTTCTTGCCAGTCTCTGGTTTCCAGATATTCCAGAATAATCTCAAACACTGCAACAAAGACAAACTCCATACATTTCTTAGCCAGGTTCATCACAATGTTGCATTCTGTATTTTAAAAAACGCGGCCTTGGATGAAGAGTGCTAATATGTCCTAGTAACTACTTTGTTCGAATCACTTCCTTCTATGCATTGTCAGAGCCAATCCGCCCCAAGGCCCTCCAGGCCTGTTAATCTTTTCTCTAGTTTTTCCTCAATTTAGTTCATGAGCACTCAAAGATTTACCATTATCTTTTGTCAATTATAATCAATAGGCAGGGGACCTTTTTAATTTCCTTCCTATTCTTCTTTATCCTTTATGTGCTAACATAAACTAGAAACAAAACAAAACGTTAGCATTAATCTAAATTTCTTCTGTCTTTCCTATAGAGAGTCATTCACTCTGGGGAGCATCTTGCCTGCTTTTTTTTTTTTTTTTTTTACATCAGAGGTAAAGAATATAAATACTGTCTGCAAGGTACTCTCACTTTAATATATTGCTGAAGGGCTTAATTTGTATTACTTTATGGAAAAGTAATTTCCACTATCTATCAAAGGTCTTGGAAGAAGTTCATTCCTTGAATCAATAAGTTCATTTCTATAGTTCCCTAGAGTGTGCTGTAGAGAAAGTGTTTAGCACATAAGAAGAGCCCAATAAATAGTTGTATACTAACAAAAATTTCTACTAAAAAAAGTCTTAAAAGCAAAACTCCAGGCAAAGACTCAGGTCCAAGAATATTACAATGTTATTTACAATAGTAAAAAAGAAAAAAAAATCAACAACAGAACAGTTACATTATTGTATATTCAGACGATGGAATATTAATGTAGCCATTAATAATGATTCAATGACAGAAAATATAATTATAAATGGGGGAAAACACCCAAATTTATAACATTTTATGCAACAGAGTAAAAATCCAATTATGTAACAAATAATATTATATATGTATAGGAAAAGAACTGGAAGGAAACACACCAAAAAGTTAATACCAAGTATCTCTGGGCAGTGAAATTATAGCTTATTTTTCTTTATACTTTTCTATATTTCCAATTTTTTCTAAAATATGCATGTATTATTTCTGTATTCAAATTATAAATGATTACATTTTATAATTTTTTCTCCAGCAAGATGTATATTTTCTACTTGTCCAAAGGTAATGTTATTCTTAACACTGTTCACTCAGGCATATTTTCATAATCCCCTTATAGCTTACCATGATTAATTGCCAAAACTTTTCTACTATTCATCTTCACAAAATTTCCAAGGGGGAGCTGTGCATGATCAATTCCATGATTTGATGCTTGTTTATATGTGAGTCCCTAAAACAAAGATACTATAACTTGGACTAGAACATTAGATTATTTTAACTTAAAGTCTACAACAGAATAAGTACTTTTAAGAAAAACTTTAGTTCAGAGAACATTATCTGACAAAGTCTGTGTGTGTGTGTGTGTGTGTGTGTGTGTGTGTGTGTGTGTGTAATTGCTAATTTGGAAGCGTTCTTCTGACAATAAGTATTGTAAGAATGTTTAGGGCATTTGCTTTAACAGCTTTACAAATGAGGAAACCAAAGACTAATTATGTTTCCTATCCCATCACAAAGGTCTTCAGTGGAAGAACCACAAGAAAAACCCGGCTCCTGGCTTTTGACTCAGATAGCTCTTCACCATTCCACACTGCCTTTCTCTCAGTTTAAAATACTCAAACTGGGGCGCCTGGGTGGCTCAGATGGTTGGGCGTCTGCCTTCGGCTCAGGTCATGGTCCCAGGGTCCTGGGGTCGAGTCCCGCATCGGGCTCCCTGCTCCTTGGGAGCCTGCTTCTCCCTCTGCTTCTCTCTCTTTCTCTCTCCCTCTCTCTCTCCCTCTGTCTCTCATGAATAAATAAATAAAATATTAAAAAAAAACAAAAAAAAAACCAAAAAAAAAATAAAATACTCAAACTGGGAGCACCTGGGTAGCTCAGATGGTTAAGCATCTGCCTTCAGCTCAGGTCATGATCCCAGGGTCCTGGGATGGAGTCCCACATCGGGCTCCCAGCTCAGCGGGGAGCCTGCTTCTCTCTCTCCCTCTGCTTTGCTTGTGCTCTGTCTCTCTTTCTCTAATGAATAAATAAAATCTTTAAAATAAATAAATAAGTAAATAAAATACTCAAACTGAGTTCCTAGAGAAGCACCATCACTCTTCCCGTGAATGTAAATACATATAAAGATAAAACTATGTTTCTTTTTTTTTAAAAGATTTTATTTGAGAGAGAGAATGAGAGAGAGAGAGAGCACATGAGAGGGGGGAGGGCCAGAGGGAGCAGACTCCCCACCGAGCAGGGAGCCCGATGCAGGACTCGATCCTGGAATTCCAGGATCGTGACCTGAGCCGAAGGCAGTCACTTAACCAACTGAGCCACCCAGGCAACCCTAAAACTATGTTTCAATTATATAACATTAAAAGGCACAAATGGCAAAGACAGAGTAAATGAAAACCTGATTTGAAAAACATTTTAAATTGTCCATAAATTTTATTTTCCCTATCAATTAAAAGATTGTTGGATACAAATTTTCTCCTCAAAATTAAAATCCTTAGAGCCTGTTCTAAACAGAACTGAAGTAGCCAAAAGACAAAGTACAGGAGGAAGAAGAGCTAAATTTCTTAACCAGTAGTTTGCAAATTTTAGGGACAAATAATAGACTGAGACGGGTGCTTCTGAAAACAAAACTAATGTAGTTCAGAAAAACAACATTAGAGAAAAAAATGTGATTCCACACAAATAACAAAACAGAATTTTTCCACTAAGAAAAAAATTTAAAAAGCTAAAGATCATTCTGATAAAAATGCCCTGTGATGCTACAGAGCTGCACAATCCAGTTATGGTCACAATTGTGACTACTTAAGTTTAAACTGATTAGTTTCTCAATCATACTATGTACATTATACGTGCTCAACAGCCACATGGCTACCATAATGGACAAATGATATAAACTATTCCAATGTTACAGACAGTTCTACCTTAGAGTGATGTTATATAAGAATAATGGATTACTTCATATTACTGCTGATAGCATTTCCTCAGACATTTGGTAAACATGTTTTTTCTTGAGTTGGGTTGAATTTAGCATATTGCAAAGTAGCTGGCAAAGTACAAAATAATGTTTTCTTTTAGAAAGTAAATTTCTGTAATTTTTCATTCAAATGAGGGTAAGGAGGTGGTGGGAAGAGAGAAAAGTACAAAATAGAAGAGAAAAGAAAACATACCCCATGAAAATGACATATTTAAAAACTCGTATAAATTTACCATTTGTTATTAATTTTGGTATATATTGCATAAATTTTACCATCAGCAGCATCTACTATCAATACAGCATATCATTTGGGCATGTGGACTCTGGAATAATCTGCAGGTTTCAAAACTCTGCTTTATCACCTACTACTATTGATTTTAGACTTAGTTTCTCTTTGACTCCAGTTCCTCATCTGTAAAATATAGATAATAACAGCACTGACCTCACTGTGTTGTAGGGAGGATTAAGCAAACTAGTAATATATGTGAAATGCTTTCTTAGCTAGAAAGGTAGTTCAGAATATAGTAGGCACTCAATAATGATCAGCTATCATTAGTATTATTGCTATCAAGAAAACTGTTATATCCATTTTAAGTACGAGCGAAAGCAAAGATAAAAACTTAATAGTACCTTGTGATGGTTGTGATCTACTAACCCTCCAATCACATAGGCCTTTGATTCATCTAATTCCTTCAGTACATTAGGTGAGTCTGATGTTAGATAAATCAGGTCTTCTTTCTTTATGAATTCACTATAATGCTCTGGTTTGATGTGGATATCCTTTAAGACATAAGGAGAAAGATGTTATTAATTAATAGGATTTTGTGAAAATTGGCTAAAAATGATTATTTTCTTTTCCTTAGACAAAGCCACCCAACAGCATATGAAAGGAAGTATGAAAGAATATTTTACAATGTATTACTGAGAACCTATTATTTCAATTCCTCATCACCTCACACCCCGATTATTTAAGTAGCCTCCTACTGTTATTTCCCTATCTCTAGCCCCAGATCCCTCCAATTTACTTCCACACATCAATGGCAGACTCACTTTCTAAAAACCCTACTTTCAATGTTTTATCTTTACTTGTAGGGTAAAACTTAAATCCCTTTACTTAAATAACTCTTTTTTGAATATGGCACTAACCTAGCTTTCTAATTTTATCTCCATTCCAATAAAACAAATACATTTTTTTTTGGCCACATATCTGCTCACACTGTTCTCCAACCAAAGAATGCCTTTTCCAATCCTTCCCCCCATCTGCATGAATCATCACAAAAGGAAAAGGCTTATAGATTTAATAAATTTCATGCACCTGCTTCTACAAAGATACACATTTGAAGTCTTCATCAAAATTACCAGGTCAGAGGTCCAAGACGGAACAACAGCTGTCAGTCAGAATTTTGCAAACTACATTGACAGAATAAAGGATGATGCATCACCAGACTCAGATGGCATTTACCTAGTAATTTTTAAAGAAAAAATGAAGGAGATTCCTCACCTAAAATGTATAACGTACTAGGTAATATATAGCCACTTTTCTGGAAAACGGTATTATTAATTTGATGCCTATGCTTAATAGGGGCCCCTAGAGGGACCTGAGTAAAGACCAGTGAACTCATGAGTCTCTGGAAAACTGGTGGTATAAATAATAAATTTTAACAAGCCACAAAATAACTGAAAGTATGCCTATACTAATTACATTATTTCTTAGGAAAATAGGCATGAATATAAAACTTGGTAAATATATTGTACTTTAAGACCCAGGAAAGTTTTTTTTTTTTTTAATTTAATTTTATTTGACAGAGAGAGAGAGAGAGAGAGAGAGAGACGGAATACAAGCGGGGGAGGGGGGTTGGGAGAAGAAGAAGCAGGCTCCCAAGGAGCAGGGAGCCCGATGCAGAGCTCGATCCCAGGATCCTGGGACCATCACCTGAGCCGAAGGCAGCCGTTTAATGACTGAGCCACCCAGGTTGCCCCTAAAACACAGGAAAGCTTTTGAAAATGTTTCACACCATAGGCTATGATTAAAATAAATGCAGGGGTGCCTGGGTGGCTCAGTTAGGCGTCTGACTCTTGATTTCGACTCAAGTCATGATCTCAAGGTCATGAGATCAAGCCCCACGTTGGGCTCTATGAGTGGCATGGAGCCTGCTTAGGATCCTCTCCCCTCCCCACCTCTCAAATAAATAAATAAATAAATAAATAAATAAATGCAGTCATTATGGGATTAGTGAGCATGAGAGAGAAAGTTTGTCACGTAAAAACTGGCTTTGAGAAAGAAAAAAAAAATAGGACTAACCCAGTACTTCTCTGAATAGGGCAAGGTTCCTCAGGCATTAGTACTAAAGCCAATCTATTCGTCATCTTTGCAAATGGGAACAGTTTAGTCCAATAGAAAAAAAAAATGTGAGTCACATATGTAATTTTAAATCTTTCAGTAGACACATTAAAAAAAGCGAAATTGGTGAAATTAATTTTAATACATTGTACCCAATACAATATACCCAATATGTTATCATTTTAACATATAGTAAATTTGTTAAAAAAATTTCAAGCAGGTAATTTACATTCTCTCCCTTTTTTTGTACTATCTTTGAAATCCAATGTATATTTCACATTTAAAGCACATCTCCATTCAGACCAGTCACATTTCAGTAGTTCAATATTCACATGTGGATAGTGGACACCATATGGGATGGCACAGATTTAGTAGAAACAGAATGCAAGTATATTTCCAAATTTTAAAGTGACTTCACTCTTATAAATAATGTATCACCATTTTGCTAGGTAGAGATTGTACACATAGACCTTTAAAATTTTTCCTGTTTTAAAAAATTGTTTTAAAGTTGGCAGTAAAGAACAAACTGAGGGTTGTTGCAGGAGAGGTGGGCAGGGGATAGGCTGGACGAGTGATGGGAATTAAGGAGGGCACTTGTGTGTGTGTGAGCACTGGGTGTTGCATGTAAGCGACGCATCTCTAAATTCTACACCTGAAACCAATTTTAGCATATATTTTATCTAACTAGAATTTAAATAAAAAATAGGAATAAAAAAATTAAAAAATAAAGTTGGTGGTAAAATAAATGAGATTAATGAGAACAGATGTGAACAGGCATTTCAGTTTCTTTAGCTTCTCCCATTAGTAATATCAGACTTAGGTACAGTGATATACAGGGTTTAAAGACTGTGGACTCCTGTATTTATTGGCATTATGTAGAATTTAGGTAAAAAATTTAAGCGTAAAAATACTTGGAATTACGTGAGAGTTCATCTGTTTTAATTACCTTCCAGTTGACCCAGCCTTTGTCATTTTCATCCATGTTCTTTTTCAACTGGCCTCCATGGCTTGTCAAGTAAAACTGGTAAAGAGATTGGTGGACACAGAAAGAGAGAGCAAATGACTATTAGAGTCCAATATTACATTTCTCTCCTACACTCATCTGATATCAATGAACCATAAAATATAGTCATTTTAGAAAAAAAATAAATTTGTGACATGCTTTAACCATACAAGAATAAATGTGCAGTAGAAGTGACATGTTTCATGTATCTCATAACCCACTACCTTGAGTATTCCATCCACATTTTCCTCCCATTTTATAAGCAGCTACAATCTGACTCTCCCTTAATGACAGCCTTTCTACAAACTCCCTACTTCCTGTCAAGTTTTCATTAAATTTCTTTTGCCACCACTGTTTTTAACCAGTCCATAGTCTTCATAATTCTCCTTTGATTCTAAACCCTGACACCAATTGCAAGTCTAATCGAGGGTGAGAAGAATATAAAACATAAAAATATAAAAACACTATCACTTGATAAAAGAAAATAAATATCTAACCAGAAATATATTAAGAGTTTCTGGTTCTTAACATCAGTGAGCCAGTGTTAATTTTTAGGTCACCCAGAATTCAAACAAATAGAAAAAAGACCCTATCTACTCTTAACAGCCGCCAATTAGTCTAAGGAAATACCTTTCAAAATGGTCACAGATTCAAAATCCTTTAGGGAGAAGTAACCTAACCATCAGGTATGATGACACACATCAAGCTGGGGGCAGTTCCCTCCCTTCCTGCGAGGGAAGGAATCGAGAGCTGAGAAACTGGTATGAAAATATGTATGTATCCTTTACTGAAGATGTTCAACTACACAGGAATGAGGTCAGTGTGTACAAAACACGATCACCGTGCAGTGTGTGACTAAGACTGACATGGGAAAAAATGTTGAAAATATTTTATTTTTGTAGCAGATGAAAACATTTTTCAAATAGGCATTTTGTTTTCTAAGGAAAAGCATTTGTAAGATTCTTGTACAGGCAATTGGGAATATCTCTGCCTCTTCCTGAGAAACTTATAAAAGGAACCCAGAATCTGTTTTAAATTCCCCAAACACACCTGCACAGGATGTAGTGCTCGTCGATTTTCTGCATAACATCGCTGAATCTGCTTATGAAGTTTCTTAATGTCCTATAAAAGAGTGCAATTTTTAAAGCAGCATTTTGAAAATCATCTATGGCCATTCCACAATCTTAGTAGAATACAATAAGCAGAAGAGAGGGACTAGACAGGTACATTTTTTCCTCTGGAAATACAGGCCCTTTCTGACATTTTCCATTCAACTTCAGTACATACTAACGTAATAATTACTATAAGTAAAGTCAATACCCTGACCAATAATTTCAATTTTGTATCCACTTAAAATGCTAATTCATGAAAATATTTACTCCTCTTAAGAGACAACAAAAGAAGAAAAACTCTCTTAGAGCCATACTACTGTTATTTTCATAAACTTACTAACGGTTTGGAAAGTAAGTAAAGCATGTTTTCTTCACTAACATTGTTCAGACAGCCAGTTTTCTCAAATTAGTAAATAAATAATTCTATTAATAACCAATCACATTTCTTACTTTCTTCTCCTGATTAGGACAAATAACAAAAACATTCCTGGATCTTTATGATTAATATAGTTACTGAGTCTTGTAATCTAATTACAGTGCCTGTCTCTCTCTTCTATGCATATAAATAAGAGCAATTTATTAGCTAGTTTAACTTAGGGGGCATGACCTTGGAAAACTTTGAGATGCATTTTAGTATATAAATTTATTTCAAAGTGATATTACCTATTAAAGCAAGAATTATTCAACCTACTTTATTTTGTCATTTTTAAAGATTTTATTTATTTATTTGAGAGAGAGAGAGAGAGAGAGCGAGAGAGAGCACAAACAGGGGAAGTGGGAGAGGGAGAGGGAGAAGCAGGCTCCCCACTGAGCAGAGAGCCTGATGCGGGCCTCAATCCCAGGACCCGAGGCGGGATCATGACCTGAGCAGAAGGCAGACGCGTAACTGACTGAGGCACCCAGGTGCCCCTCACCCTACTTTACCTACAGGATTTTTCTGAGAATGATTCATGATACCTTTAATATCATCAAGCTGTCAAAACTGCAGTCAATGATAAGGCGGAGTGTACTGTGAACAACATCTCTTCGAATACGTTTTCTGTCATTTCCATCTGAGTTTGATTCCAGTTGACATTGTCGCTCTAATTGTTTTCTCTTGCGTTTTTCCTTCCGCTTTTGTCTAAAATTAGGAATTGAAACTTTTTGTTGTTATTTACATATTGAGATATTTACAAGACTCTTCTAAACAGACAAAAAAAGCGAATAATTTTTTTAAATTAGCAGGCTGAACCACATGAAACTGCTACTTCTGTGGATCAAATGTCAGCAGTTTTATAGTCCACCAAAAAGCTTTAGATAGAAAATAATTTTGCAAAAACAATATAATACCTTCTACACAAACCCTTATTACTCCTAATTTCATTTATTATTGGTAATACACTATACTAAGACTTCATAAAATACTTAATTTTAGACTTAAGTATGAAGTTTTACTTTTAGCATTCTTCTACATGATTTTCAAACAACATTAATAGAGAATATAGCAAAGTAGAAGTGTTTTTTTAAAAAAAACCTACTTTTTCTATAATTTACATCAACTATAGTTTATTTTCCCTCAATAAACGTTGGCATTATATAATAACAGCTTGAGCTTAACTGCTCTCACCAAAACCTACAATGGTTTTTCTAGCAAAATCAATGTTAGGCCCAAATTTGATCTTTCTGAGGTGGTTATTTTTGTTCTATATCTAGGACATGGATGCTAACTCTATCCCTTATCTAAGTCAGTTATTTCAGAAACTGTGCTGCTACTCATAACAGGTCCTGGGTGAGAAAAAGTGTAGTGTAAATCCACCAAGGCGGAAACAAATAGTTTTAACAGCTAATTGACAGTGCTGGCTAACAACATACATAGCCCCAGTTTTAATTATCACAATTACTTTTGATGTGTCAAAGGGCTATCTATGCAAAGTTCAGCACTCCTGAATGGGGTAGCATATATATGCATTTTGAAACATACTTGCGGAGTTCTCGTTGTTCTTCCCATTGTTTCTGTTTAATGAGCTTCTTCATCTGTCGTTTAGATATTTGTTCAAACCTTTCACATAATCTTGGCTTCTGGCTCTTCTCTTGATCTTCACTTAAGCTTTGCTTTCTTTCAACATTAGAAGACTCAATAAATGCTGGCAACATTTCAGAGGTCATTATTTGATGCCTCTGAAAATACTGAAAGGCAACATTGACGTGAACAGGTAAGTTACAAACACATACAAAAAGTAAAAAAAGATCAAAAGATGTGATTAAAATTAAATCCTATCAATAACAAATAAAAATATAAATTTAGACAATTAAATGTCATTTACTGGCAAAGACCATTTGATGAAATGGGTGTTTGCATATACTATTAGCAGTCATGGCACAATTTTTGCAGAAGGTTACATAGATCTGTTTCAAGAGCTTTAAAATGTCATGATACCCTTTGACCCAGTAACTTATTTCCTTAGAATAAACTCCTGTAAATGGATCAGAAATATACACAAAATTAATGCAAAAGGGTATATGTCCTGCAGTATAATTTTTTACAATGAAAAATTAGAAACTACTTGAATGTCAGCAAGAGGTGGCTGTAAATAAATTACAGTTCATCTATACCATGGACTGGGGATACTAAACATCCAGTAAAAATCATGTTTCCCAAAATTATTTAGTGATAAAAGGAAATGGTTATGCTAAGTAGAGAAAAATAAAAACAAAAAACAGTATATATATATATTATGTCCAATTTGTTTTAAAAAGAGTATGTACACATAAACATGTTTAATTTTTATCCATGGTTTTTTGCATTTTCTATATTTTATATAATGAAAATATATTGCTTTATGAAAGAAAAAATTTAAAAAAGTGATGGGAAGAACCTTTTTTTAGTTGTCATTAATGCTACAGTACAAGGGAAATGTTACTTTCATTATCTGGGTGTATACTCAGAAATGATTTTTGACAAAAGATAAGCTATAGATTTACATATTTTGGACAGTGAAGAAAACAATTTGGTTTCCTCTCAGTATATTTCATTGTAAATATGTAATTATAAATACCCATGTTAGCCATGGCTGAAAAACAAAATATATAAGCTGATCTTATAATCAGTCATGGGATGTGTAGGACCATCTCAAAAATATTTAATTGGATTAACCATGCACATCTTTATTGTCTAGAACTGAACTTACCTTCAGATTAGGAAAGAGCTAAAAATACTAAGATTTCTTTTCTCTTTAACAGATTACTAACACTACAGTTTAAAAATTTATTTATCCCTAGCAAAGACTAAGCATGACTTGCAAATGTTCTATTGGCATTAAAGAAAATTCTATGATTCTTTCTTCTTAAAGAGATGGCTAACAAGTCTATGCAGAGAAGCTAATATCTAAGAGAAAAATCCCAACAATTCAGATAATGGAAAGGACAAAACCATGCAGAAGATAATTTAAGCAGCTTTATTATATAGTTCTTGCTTTCTTTAAAAGTGTAATGTTGTAACAGGACACATGGGGATAACTAAGAAAACACAAAGTTTACCAAACTTTGACTGAAAGATGAATTTTAAGATGTGTGTTTGGGGGCGACAGCAAAAACCCTAGCATTTTGCTAAGTCACAAATTACTGAAGGGGAAAGAACCATCTAGTAATCCAAGTAAGAGTTCACAAGTTTTCCTTATGGCACTAACCAAACAGTACCCTTAGTTTGGGGAAAATATCTCCTAGAAATGACAACCCAAATTTGATTTTATACTGGAAACTGCCTATGGGCACAAATGGTCTGCTTTTGCCTAATATTATATCACCACACTACGTTACTAACACAGTGCCTGGCAGGTAGTAGATGCTTATTATATATTTGTGGAATAAACAAATGAGTGAATATATTACAAAGGATTTTAAAAAGTAATGAAAGTGGTTATAATGAACATTCATTAATTCTTACTGTGCTAAATAATGTATTATCTAAATTAATCCTTAAAACAACCCTACGAGGTAGACAGCATCATGCCTACTTTACAAAGAAGGCACCATGAGATAAAGTAACTTGCCCCAAATTACAAAAGTACTAATTAATTCCTAAGAAACAAGGCACCTAGAACAAATCTAGGACAAAGTCCTCAAAATACTTGCAGAATGAATAGACAAATGAAGTGATGGAGCTAAGATTCAAACCCAGATCCAACTCCACTCTCTCCCAGAAATCCAAAATCTTATTTAGAAAATGAGGGTTTCCAAAAAATATAAAAGAGCCATGTGGCTTCACCCCTGCTGTTGGAGGGCTCTGAGAACACTGTGTCACTGAAAGAGGAGAAAAAAATAGCTCCGGTTCAATTCCTTTCCACTGAATACAAAAATGGGACAGACTTCCTAGAGATAGTTGCCAAAAGTTCATGTTTTGAGGTATCCTGTCTTTCAATCTTGAAATACATGACAACAGTAGATAAAATACAAGGGGAAACAAAAAAGGTATAGCTTCTCTCCAAACCAAAAACAAGAACTAAAATAGATATTGTTTCTGCTGGGTCTGCTATTAAAGGCAACTGGGAGTTTTCTTAGCTAATAGCATTAGTATTATTTTTTAAAAAATATTTATTTACTTATTTTAGAGAGAGAGAGAGCACATGCACTGGGGGCGGGGGGCACAGGGACAAGGCCAGAGGGAGGAGAAACAGGTTCCCTGCTGAGCGTGGAGCCCTATGCAGGGCTTAATCTCACAACCCTGAGATCAAGATCTGAGCTAAAATCAAGAGTTGGATGCTTAACTGACTGAGCCCCCAGGCGCCTGACAAAGTTTAAGATGAATCCTTAACCGAGTGTTGGGGGTGGGGCTCCTGTTTCCATGAAAAAAGGCTGAAAACAGGTGAAATTTAGACTAATGGCTTATACCATGCTGGTTACCTGGGGAAACCCGAGGTGTGAAACAGACAGCTTCTCAGCTACAACCAGGGCCAAACCATGAGATGACATATGAACTTAGAACACTACAGGATTAGAATTCTGAATCCCCTATGCAAGCTGTGCTGTGGAATGAAGCACTTAACAGGGCCAGGGGTAGGAACGACCACAAAATCAGCAGCAGATAGACAGATGGTTTGGAGAGGGGAAGTGATAATTCCATGAGAGGACTTTGCAAAGCAAAATTACAAAAAGACAGAAATGATGTGGAAGAACCCAACAAAATCAACAATCAGGAGATAAATTCACTCTTCACAAACTGAAAATCATAGGACAATGTGAAAAAGACTTTAAAATAATTTGGTTGGAATCTTTCAAGAGATCATGGGAATAGAACCATAAAAACAAAACAGGAAACCAGGACACAAAAGCAGGATAAAAAAAGCAAAAAGAGAAATCTATGAAAAAGAACCTATTTGGAAACCAGGAAATTAAGATATAAAAATTCCAAGAGATGAGACAAACTCCAGATTATCTGGAGTCCAAGAGGTAATGGATGAATTAGAAGACATCCTGACAATCTCAGAATTCAGAGAAACAGAATGACAAAATATGTCAGAACAACTGAAAGACTTAATAGCAGCATGAGAGAGAGACAAGCAAAAGGGTAACTGGAGATAAATGTATAACCTTGAGTTCATTCATTAAAGAGTGTTCTTAAAAAGCTGGAAAATAAATAAGCATTCAACTTAAACAGGAGACAGGGAAACTCAGTAAGCCTGAAAAAATTAGAAGAAAATTTTAAAATATATATTGTGATCCCCAGAATACTCTTATTTTACTTCCTTTATATACACAGTACATTAAATAAAAGCAATGCATGTATGCAAAACAGTACATGGTAGAAAACAAGCTAAACCTGCTCACTAAGCTAAATGTGCAAACTTAAAAGCACAATTAAAATTCACAGGAAACAAATTGCTCTCTTCATAAAACAATGACTAATACTCCAAAAGAGAACATTTCTGTTCATCAGTTTCACTGTGTTTTGCTAGTTCTTTAGTCTGTTAAAAAACTGCAAGTGTTGATTGGCTCTATAACGTAAAAATTTAAAAAAAGCAATGTTTTATAGCTCATGTACACCAGGGGGAGCTTTTGTCTTTCCTACCTGAGAAGTCTAAATTAACTTGGCCTATCATTGCATACTAATGTTTTTAAACAGCAAACAGCCTGTCAAATACAAGGAAAGGTCATGAGCTAGTTGACATTTTCATTATTTTTAAAGCTATTCCGAATTAAGAAAATGCACTGCAGTGAGTATTTTTTAAGCTTTGATAAGCTAGATACATTGAGGCACAAAATAAAAAAGAAATGCTAGCTTGAGATCCAATATATTACTGCTTACATCACACTCTACAAAGATGTGTACCAACTCTCACTTCCTATACCATACAATAAGCATTTCACCATGTACTAGCTTGTTCAGATAACCTGAAGCAAAACGTGGCATTTTTTTACTCCGTATACTCGCTTTCTAAAGTTTTTGCCACAGTTTATAAGCTCCATAGCAGAAGTTTTGTGTTCCTCCCTCACACGCAGTGACACAGTACACCTTTATTTATTCAACTACGTTCAACAAGTATTTAAGAGCAATATTTTGTAGCAATTATAGAAATATCTGTGTGAAATTTAGCTTAATATAGAATTTTTACAAGGTTGGTTTATTTAGGCACAAAAATAGGTTATCAGGTGGTTTGATAAAACCAAGAACTGGATAAAGGTGACTAAGGCCGTCTGGTGTGAGACAAATAAGTACTGTTAAAAAAAAAAAAAAGGGCATCTCAATCTTCCTTGTATTTCCAGTTCTTAGCACAGCTTCCAGCAGGGAACACACACATACATCAGTGAACAGCCAAAATGAAAATTAAAACAAAACAAAACAAAACCCAACTTTCATGGATTTTGATTGTCATTATTTATGACAATCTCCCTTTCTGAAAGATCCAAACGAATGTTGGAATACCTGCAAAATGTAATTAAATGACCTGACAGTGACAGGGAAAGAAATAAAACCCTTTTTAAAACGCGCCGGCCAGATCTGCAGTATCGAAGGCGCATGATTCAGCGGTCAGGCCCCTTAGGAGGACTGGGCTGGGTTAGGGAGAGGAGAAGGAATTAATAAACAACCAAAACAAAAAGTGAGAAAGTCATCTGTTGCTATCCTCTTTATAGCTCTAGAAAAATTCCCGAATTTTAATACTTAACTTATTTCACTCAAATCAAGTAACGCCTCAGTCCTCTTAAAAACCATCCTCGGCTCACCAGCAAGGGGCTAACAGCACCTGCAGCAACTTTCCCCTGAGCTCTCAACATTTCAGAGCGCTCAGCTACGTCAGCCCCGCGTTGGAGAAACGAGGTAAGGCCGATTCAAAGAGGTAAAGCGACTGCTCCCGGTCTCTAGCCACCAAGTGGCCGAACCACAACTCGTTTTCCAGCCCTTCAGAGTCCAGATTTCCCTCTCCCTTCATTATTTGGAAACTCACACTCTTCAAACACTAGGGACCGGATCCCGACCCCCAAACAAACGTCGACCGTAGGCGCCCCCACAGCGGGTGGGCTGAGCCTCGCCCCACATTCCCCTCTAGGCGACCCGTCTGCGGACGCACTTGAGGAGGGATTAAACTACAGCCAGCGAATCAGGGAGCTGCTTGGCGCCGGGGACGCTCTCCATCTGACATCACTTCCTTCGGGAACTGGGTCGCGGCGCCACTTCCACAGCCGCACTCCCATCTCCCCCGGAAGCCGTGTTGTTAGTCGAGAATGGCACTCGCAAGAGCCCCTTTTGCGCCCAAAGAAGACCAGAGAGTAGGCAAGTGCCAGCGGCAGTGCCAGGAGACTTACCGAGCTGAGGAGTTGTCAGGGAACTGACAGCACCAACACAGAGCCTTCTCGTAATGGTCTTGATACAGCTCACGAGTCTTCCGCAGGAAACTTCAACTCCCAGAGGCAGGGACGGTAGCTATGCGTAGGAGGCTACGGCGCTTACGCCTTTACGTCATCAAACTGCACCACGTTTGGACTTGCAGTGAAAGAAAGCGGAGGGAGTTCATGTTGGGCGGGGTTTGGAGTTAGGGTTTTTGGAAGGGGAGGTAGTTAGAATGATGTCTGTTTTTCCACCCCGAATCAAGTGTATACTTACTTGCAGGCATGTATTCGTTTATATATTCCTATGGGGATGGAGGAGGGGTGTAAGGCATACCTACTTTTATAAATTTTAAATGCGAAAGAGTGGTGGAGGGCTCTTTAATTCTCTACTGGAGTTGATAGGAAAGCGTATAGCTACGCCTAAACTATAATGTATACGGGAGAAGGTTGTCAGTATCACATGATTTCACACAACTCAAATGGAAAATCAAATTTAAAGAGTGAGTCAAATTCCCAATAAGATGCATTTAAATCTAGAATGTTTAAAAATTTTTTCTTCATTATAGTCGTAAGTCTTACTCTCCATTCATTCCTTGAACTATTTTTCTTACGCTGTTTTGCAAAACATCATGTGACATTTCATTGTTTATAATACGTGACCTTATATGATCTTTTTGCTATATATAGACCAAGTCAACTGAGGGAGAACTGAAACATAATCTAGTAGACTGTCATTTTTAGCTTTTGTTTTATCCTACTTCTAATAGGTGATTATTGCAGAATTTGAAGATAAGAATGAGATTTAAATGGATGAATAGAAGACTGCCATATTGGTATGGAAAGAATTGTGAAGTAAATTCTTGATATTTGAACATGTTTAAAAGCTTTAATGAATAGAAAATTAAATTCAGAATTTGAGTTCTCTAGTCACAAAACTGAAGTAATTCTTGCTTTAAACCCTCAAATTTTACTTGAAAAACTGTGTCAGCTATAACACTGTTGTGGATCACTCCTTTGTTTCTTCCTCATCTTACATCTAAAAGATCTCTTAACTGAACATTGACAACAAAGTGTGGATCCATTTCTGATGTTAGTAGGGCACCTTTTTTTCAGCTGCCTCTATATGAGGGCAAAGAGTAGCTGAGTGAGGATTAGTAATTGGATATGTAGCCCTTCACATGTAGGTCATTAAACTCAGGCTGGCATAGTGACGGGCCAAATTTTTCAACAGCTGTTCAGTGCCTCTCAGGATTCTGTTTATGAGTAATAATATATTTTTTCAGTGTTAATATTTGGCATCCTTATATATTTAAAGCAGAATTTTTAAAGTTACCTTAAAAACCCTCATATTGTCATGGTGGAGTCAATAAATTTTCTTTTGACATAGCCATTTTAACTTTGCAGTCATGTGGTGCAAAAATTTAAGTGATTCTACTATCAATACAAAGAAAGCACTGAAAAAGGGCAAGGAAAAAAGGGGGGATTTAATAAAAAATTGAAGCATAATATAGAAAGTACAGGAAAGTAAATTTGTGATATGAAATAATCTTTTCATTGATTTGTAAAATTCATGTATTTGTTTATGTGACCCATTGAGTTCATGTTTTTGTCTTAGTACTGTTCATACAGAGATAATTAAATCATAATCTCTGTCCTTGTAAGGAATCCATAGACTAGTGGGAAAGCCAGCAGTAAATAAAGACCTATACAACAGACAATGTACTTGAGATGCCTATGCATGAAAAGGAGCAACTAAATGCTCTTGGAGACAGGGGATATAGTTTTAGAAATTGAATAATTTTGCTCCATCTTGGAAAGTAAATGGTTTTCCAGATATCGAGAAGAGAAAGGTATTCAAAATATTGGAAGCTATAAAAGCAAAGACATGTCATAATTTGGCACATGATTGAAAAGCTGTGGGTAGGATGAAGAAAAAGGAGGAAAGAATAACCCTAAGGGTTTTTTTAATTTGGACAACTATAGGAATGCAATTACGTTAACTGGGTCATTTAGGGAATAGTGGGAGAAAATTGTTTTGGAAAAAATAGTTTGATATTGAATATGTGGGTTCTGAGGAGTATGTAGGATAACTAAGTAGAAACAGATTTAGAAATCATCAGCACATATTTAGTGGTTTGAGTCAAAATAAGAGTCTGAAATCAAAATAAGAGTCTGAAATCAAAAAGATACTAGTTTATGGGTTGCAAACCTGTAATGTCTATGAGGACTAGAAGGTAACAAATGAGAGAAACTATCTGGGAGGAAAGTGTCACAAACCTGAGAGACTATTCTCTGTTTAGTCAAGGCACAGATTCCAAGGAGGAATATGGGCTTCATTACACGAGATCTCAATTTTTAAAGAGCAGCCAGGAAACTGGATTTTTATGTGAAATCTGGTTTTTAAGCGTTGGCGACTATTTTGTTCATTTTTTTAAATAGTGAGCAGGCTAAACGAAACGTGGATCACAATCAGATAATTGGCAGCCAGTTTGTTAAGTTGGACTATTTGTAGGATGAGAAAGGGGCTCAGATAGAACCAGAATTTTGTAACAACAACAAAAAATGGTAATAGATACAGTCATGAGCTCCTCCAAATGTTTGGCCTGAGAACATTGGGCAGTCATCACAAATTGCATTATTTTAAGCCTAGTTCTGTTATTTCATTAAGTCTAAGAGTGTCCTTCAGCAAGCTGGGAGTGGGAAGGTGTGGGAATAGACTAATGATTGTGAGTACATTAATTTCAGGCTAAGAAAGCGACACAAATTAGCTTTTAAATTAGTTGAAAGTTATCTAAAAGGCAGCATCAACATATTATAATCATTTCAGCTTGTATTTTGATTGATTTAAAAATATAGGAAAGGCTTAAAACTTGAAAAAATATAACTTAACCCCCTCCCCAATTAATACATGAATATTGAAGATCTATGAAGATAACTATGGAGGCATTGTAGTCTGAATCTCCTCATAAAAACGGGTAGAACATCTTGGATAGGAAAACAATAATAATAACAAATATAGACCATGGGTATAACATAACTAAGTGAAAAAGAATCCTCATAAAGCTCATAATATGAGCAGGTGGGAACAAACTGTCAACTTAATACCAGTATCTGGGTAGGAAGAAACAGTGGGAAGACAACAGAGCATCTGAAGGCCATGAGAATGGGAGGACCCCCAAACTGCCAACAGGTATTCACTGAAAAGCAAGGGAGATGAATGTGAGATCAGGAGCAAAACTGGCTGACTGTAATTTCAGGATGAGTACAAAGGGAGGAGCAGGAAGGTCTGAAAGTGCTGGAGAGATATGGAGCTTATGAACTCATAAAACTTAATAAACCTGATCTCCCTTCTTGGACAAAGCCCAACACTAAGGAGAAACTTCTGGGAGTAGAATCCAAATTGAACAGGACAGGGACAATAGAAGCAAAGAAAAACGCAGGTCCAAATAAAAGTGGGAGAGAAGAGACAGAGCTCAGAAATGACAAGGATACATAGGTGTCATTGTATGAAAACATGAGAAAAGGAAGCCTTAGAATCATGAGGCTAGAAAGTTATACCCATCCCTCCCTCTTAAAGGTAAAGAATAACTTATTTAGCTTAAAAATATACCACAAGAAGGATTACAGTTGAATCCTTTTTAAGTTGTTATAGTAAAATATGAAATAGAGAAAAAAGCATATGAAAACTATAACCCAGTACTTCAAACCAAGAGAATTTTTTTTTTTTTAATGATAGAAGATAGAACAACATAAAACAACAACAAAGAACTAAAAACCTCAGAAATAAAGTGACTGGAGAAAAGAAGATTTGAAGAGGAGTGACAGAACTCAGAAAAGAATACAAAATATAAAAAGTACACATATATATTTGACCATCTTACTGGGAGTCTTAGTGCAATAAGATAAGAAAAGGAAATAGCTTTCTTAGAGACTACTAGAATAATATATACCAGCAAATTGGAAAACCCAGAAGAAATTGATAAATTCATAGAAACAACCTTGTAAGACTGAATCATGAAGAAATAGAAAATCTGAATAGACCAATTACGAGTAATGAAATTGAAGCAGTAATTTAAAGTCTCCAAAAAATAAAAGTCTAGGACCAGAAAAGTTCACAGGTGAATTCCACCAAGCATTTAAAGAGGAGTTAGCACCTATCCTTCTCAAGTTATTCCATAAAAAATTGAAGAGGGAGGAACAATTCCAAACTCATTTTACGAGGCCAGCATTATCTTGATACCAAAACCAGAGACACCATCAATATTCCTGATGAACACAGATGTAAAAATTCTCAACAAATTATTAGTAAACTGAATTCAACAATACATTAAAAGAATCATAAGTCATGATCAAGTGGGATTTATTCTAGGGATGCAAGGATAATTCAACATCTACAAATAAATGTGATACACCACATTAACAAAACAAAAGATAAATTATATGATCATCTCAGTAGATGCATAGATTGACAAAATGCAACATCAGTTTATGATAAAAAAAAAAACTCTTAACAAAGTGTGTATAGAAGGAAATGCCTCTATAAAAAAGGCCACATATGACAAAGTCACAGCTAACATCATACTTAATGTGAAAAACTGAAAACTTTCCCTCTAAGATCAGGAACAAGATAAGGATGTCCACTCTCACCACTTTTATTCAACATTATACTGGAAGTCCTAGCCACAGTAATCAGACAAGAAAAAGAAATAAAAGGCATCCAGATTGGTAAGGAAGAAGAAAACTGTCACAACTTGCAGATATCATGATACTATATATAGAAAACGCTAAAGGCTTTATTTACCAAAAAAACCATTAGAACTATTAAATGACTTCAGTAAAGTTGCAGGATAATATACAGAAAACTGTTGCATTTTGTAACTAATAACTATCTGAGAAATTAAGACAATCCCATTTATTATTGCATCAAAAATAAGATATCTAGGAATAAATTTAACCAGTGAGGTGAAAGACCTGTATTTGAAACACTGTTAGACATTGATGAAAGAAATTGAAGATGACACAGATAAATATATATACCATGCTCCTGGATTGGAAGAATTAATATCATTAAAATGCCCATACTACCCAAAGCAATTTACAGATTCATTGCAATCCCCACTGAAATACCAAGGGCATTTTGCACAGAACTAGAACAAGTAATCCTTATATTTGAATGGAACCCCAAAAGATCCTGAATAGCCAAAGCAATCTTGAGAAGGAGAGCAAAGCCAGAGGTATCACACTATCTGGTACTATACTACAAACTGACAGTATTCAAAACAGTATAGTAATGACATGAAAACAAACATATAGATCAATGGAACTGAATATATAGTCCAGATGGGTTATATATAACCCATGCATATATAGTCAATTAATTTATAACAAAGGAGGCAAAAATATTCAATGGTGAAAAAAGTCTCTTCCATAAATGGTGTTGGGGAAAACTGGACCACTGTCTTACACTATATACAAAATAAATTCAAAATAGCCTGAAGGTTTGGATATAAGTCCAGAAACCATAAAACTCCTAAAAGAAAACATAGGCAATAAGCTTTTGGACATCAATCTTAACAATGCTTTTTTGGGACCAGTCTCCTAGTCCAAGGGCAACAGAAGCTAAAAAAACAAACAAACCAAATGGGATTATATTGAACTAAAAGGCTTTTGCATAGTAAAGGAAACCATGAACAAAATAAAAAGGCAACCCACTGAATGGGAGAAGGTATTTGCAAATCATACATCCAATAAGGGGTAAATATCCAAAATATAAAAGAACATACACAAATTAATATCAAACACCCAAACAACCAGATTAAAAAATGAGCAAAAG